CGCAGCGATACGGTTAGTTGCAGACGTCAATCCCACATCACCACCACCGTCAGCACAACCACAGGCCGCACCGCTGGCAGCAGTACCTGTGTCAGCAGCAGCAACAGCAGCAGCAGCAGCACCACCACAGCATCTCACCCGCCCTCCATCTCTCAAACCTCCACTTCTCCAAGCTGGTCTGCACCTCAGCGAGCTCAATGTGAGCGTGCTGCCAGTCAGCCGCTGCTGCCTGCCTTTCCCCGGAGCAGAAGCTGCCGCTAGCTTACCACTAGATGGTTGGTCCAGGCAGCATCAGCATCTTCCCACCCAGCACCAACTGCCCATCGAGCAACACCAAATACACAGGGCTCTCTGGCTTCAGGCCTATCGCAGGAACCTGTTTGCTCAAGTAAGCTGCTTGTTTGCCTCTTTTTGCTCTTCCCACCTCTCTCCCACGTCGTTCGTATCTTCTTCACTGCTCTACGTTTCCGCTTGCTCTCAATTGAACTGATGTTCTTGCGTCGATGCGCCACTTCCGTTTTCACTTCTCCTTTCACATGGTTGTTGCATCGCACGCACATGCCCGCCGATCATGACACGCCTGTCAGTCTACGCCTCACTGTCGTACACGCTGTTATGCTTCCTTTTTTTTTTTGTTGTTGTTTTTTTTTTTTTTTTCCGCACTGTTCACCTCAGATCGCCACGGCAACATCCGTGCAAATAGAGCTCGTCGCGTCAGCAGGTGCTGCCTCAACACCTTCACCTGCTGCTGCTACAACCGCTGGTCTTACTGCAACCGCTGCTGCTTCTTCTGCTACAGCTAGTGGTGCTACAGCCGCTGCTGCTACAGCAAGCCCTTCAACTGCTTCTGCAGGAATTTTGTCGGCATCGTCATCAGCTTTTGAGGCGCCTCACAAGTCAACTGCTGCTGCAGGGAGGGCCTCTGCCTCGTCCTCAGCTCGATCCACGTCACCACCCGGCTTAGAAATCATCTGCTGCAACGCCCAATCGCAGGTGGACACGTGTCATGACAGCATGCGGGTGCTGGGAAGGCTGGGGCAGCAGCTGCAGCTCGTGTTTCCCCCTGATGCCCCGGCCGTTCCCCCTGGGGGTGTCACGAGCAGGGTGTATGGGGGAGGGGGAGTCGTTGAGGGGCAGACGGGGCAGACGGGACAGGGAGGACAGCACGTGCACCTCGTGTTTCCCCCTGATGCCCCCGCCGTTCCCCCTGGGGGGGTCACAAGCAGGGTGTATAGGGGAGGCGGGGACGTAGGGGGGCAGACGGGGCAGGGAGGGCAGGGAACACGAGGAGGGGAGGAGGTGCAGAAAGTGTTTTCCCCTGATGTACGGGTTTCAAGTAGGAGGTCTGGAAGCCGGGTTGCTAGTGTCCCTTCTGCTGCCGCGGCCAGTCCTGCTGCCGACGTGGCCAACAACTCTCCTGATGTGGCTAGCCCTCTTGCTGACGTGGCCAATAACTCTCCTGATGTGGCTAGCCCTCCTGCTGCCTCTGCTGTTGCTGCTCTTTCTGCTTATGCTTCTGCTGCTGCTGCTGCCTCTGATACTGCCACCGCTACTGGGTTGAGCAGTGGTGATAACGGGTTGAGCAGTGGTGATGCTGGGTTAAGGGTTCTGGGGGAGGAGGCAGGGGGGTGGGTGGAAGTGATAGTACCGGAGCAATCAGGAGAAGTGAGTGGAAGCGAGGGTGACTATAGCGATGGATGGACGTGGACAGAAGTGGAGCACGTGGAGTGTAGTCACACTCAATCACACTCAACGATGGGGTATAGTCACAGTCAGACCACCCAAGGAGGCCCCAGCCCCAGCTCTCCACAGCACCCGCAACCTCCTTACAGTCACAGCAGCAGCCACAGGCCGAGATTCAATAACACCAATCCCAGATCGCAGCAGCAGCAGCAGTAGTAGCAGCAGCAGGAGCAGCAATAGCAGTGGCGTCCACCAATCGCATCACGCCACATGGCTTGAAGATATTTCAGGTCAACTGATTTCAGACCACGTTCCGCTAGTCCCTCCTTCATCTCCACAATACACTTCCTCTTCCTGCCTCTCCTCCTGCTCCCCTCTCCCTAGTGCCACTCACCGTGCTCCTTCCTCCTCTCCCTCCCCCACTGCTCCTGCCATCTGTTCTCCCTCCCCCTCTTCTCCTCCCCCCTCGTCTACCTTCACCTCTCGCCGCGGCCATAAGCCCTCCTCCCTCCCTGCCTCCTATCCCCCCTCTGAGGCCCGGATCCTTCTCAGAAACTGCTCGCTCGTCTGCAGACTGAGCTCTGGCCGGCATTTTCTGTCAAGTAGTGCTGCTGTTAGCAGTGGTTTGTGTGCTGGTCTTTGTGCTGTTCCTGGTGCTACTGCTACTGCGGGTACTGGTGCTGGTGCTGGTGGGGCTGAGTCAGCATCGGCTGCCGCTGAGTCAGCAGCGAGGCTCCGATTGGAAGGTCCATGCATGGAGGTGATTTTGAGAGGAGTAGACGTTCAAATAGACAAGTTTCAACTAGACAGGCTGCAAGATAAAATGACCCAAGTGCCTCCTTTTGCTCCTGCTGCTGATGCCGCTGCCACTGCTGATGGCGACAGTTCCCCCAGGAGTGTGTACACGTCGCGTGTGGCAGTGACAGTGAGGGAGATAGGCATATGGGACCGGGGCTTGCAGCATCAGCAGGGGCAGGGGCATTGGCACCAGCAGCAGCAGCAGGGGAAGGGGCAGGGGCAGCAGGGGCAGCAGGGGCAGCAGGGGCAGCAGGGGCAGCAGGGGCAGCAGGGGCAGCAGGGGCAGCAGGGGCAGGAGTGGGGAAGACGGTGGGCGAGGGTGGGAGGGGCGTATGGGAGGGAGGCGGCAGATGTGCGATCCAAGGCTCTGCGGCTGTTGCTGGATGCTGTCAGGCCCAATCCAACGGTGGAGATTGACGAATTCAGGTTGGTGCAAATGGTTCTGCTGGTTACAGACTGTTGGCAGATCAAGACCACATCAACTGTGTTTCCTTTTACGTTAGCCGCTCTACTTTACTTCCCCTGCTCTGTCTTGTTCCTTCGTGGTTCTTCTCTGCAGGCTCTCAGTGGCTCTGCTGCCAATCCGCCTGCGCATCGATCAGAACCACATTGATTTCCACTCGCGCTTCTTATCCAACATGCTCCGCCCTATCCGTCACTTCCTTTGCCCTCCCATGTTTTTCCCTCTTGGCTCTTCTCGTCCCTGCAGGCTCTCATTGGCGCTGCTGCCAACCCGCCTGCGCATCGATCAGAACCACATTGATTTCCTCTCAAAGCTTCACAGCCTCGTTTCTTTCCATTGCTCTCTTTCAACCTTCTCTCTCCCTCTTGTGTTCACCTCATTCTTCATCCATGCAGGCTCTCAGTGGCTCTGCTGCCAATCGGACTGCGCATCGACCAGAATCACATCGAATTCCTCTCCCGCTTCTCCACCACACAAATCCCTCCTCCTGCAACAACTACCAAAGATTCTGCTGCCGCTACAGCCGGAACTTGTCCCTCTGAAGCCACATCGTCAGGAGCGGCAGCATCGGCGGTGGTGGCAGATGCAGAGCTCTTACGAGATGCCTTGCTGCCCTTCTTCCAGGTCAGACTTCGCCCACGAACGTGGTTTTGCATGATTATGGTTCAAATGGTTCCCTTTTCCACTCAATCTTGCCGATTGATGTGCTTGTGAGATCGCAAGGTAAAAAAATAAATCAGGCCACAAAACAAGACCTGTAGAGTGACCGGTGCATTGTTATTGTTCCCTTCCCCTCCGCGGGTGTAGGGTGTCAGATCACTGCGGCAGATGTGCTGACTCTGGCAGATAATGAGTATGTGGCGGACAGTCTTGTGGACTTCAACAACATGTAAGGTCCAGAAACATGTTGTGGAAGTCCACAATACTGTCTGCCAAGTACTCTTTATCGGCCAGAGTCAGCGCATCTGCCGCAATGATCTGACACCCGCTGTGCGGGCCGTAAAGTGTCAGGGTCTTGAAAGTCGTTTGCACTGCTGGCGACTTCAGCCTACATATCAGGTCGGTAGGTTCATCGCAATCCGACGTGGATCTATCAGCTCTTTCTGCCTCATGCTTGTTACTCCTCTTCCCGTCCCCCACCACCCGCCACCCACCACCTGCCACCCACCACCCGCCACCCACCACCTGCCACCCACCACCTGCCACCCGTAAAATGAGGTTGTTTTTGAGACGTCTCAAAAACAACCTCATTACACCTGCCACCCACCACCCGCCACCCACCACTTGCCACCAGGTGTGTGAGATTCGGGCCTTCTCCATCTTGATCGACTCTGTGCCTCGCCGCTTGGACCTCTCTGCTCTCAAAATGCAATCATATCTTCAGTCTGGCTGCATTCATCTGTACTCTCCCCGCCCCGTCCCGTCCCCCGCCTTGTCCCGTCCCCAGGTGTGTGAGATTCGGGCCTTCTCGGTTTTGATCGACTATGTGCCTCGTCGCTTGGACCTCTCTGCTCTTTCTGCTGGCAATTACGCTCACCTCCTCAACCTCATCTCATGGAAGGTGTGTTTGTGTGGGGGTGGGTGGGTATGTGTGTGTGAGTCTGGGTGTGGGTAGGTGCATGGGTGAGTGAGTGAATATGGCGAGTTATTATTCGCTTCACCAAGGCTGGTATGGGGGGTGTGCAGGGGTGGATGAACTGAGGTGACTTTTGAGTCGACTCAAAGTCACCGAGTTATTATTCGCTTCACCAAGGCTGGTATGGGGGGTGTGCAGGGGTGGATGAACTGGCTGAGACTTCTCCCCTCTGGTAGCGAGGGTGTTTTTGAGACGTCTCAAAAACACCCTCGCTACAAGTGTGCAGGGGTGGATGCACTGGCTGAGACTTCTCCCCTCTCGTGCTCCCTCTCCTCACCATCCTTCCCTTCCCCCACTCACTCACTCCGGTCACATCCTTTCCCCCTAAAACCCATGGCAAGGAGTTGTAATCGATTTCACCAGGGCGAGAGTGGTGGGCGTGCAGGGGTGGGACGGGCTAGGGGGAGCGCTCATCAGCCAATGGGCGGAGGACCCAGATTTGCCCTCCCTCCCCTGTGTGTGTTCCTTCTCTGTGCCTCCCCTGGAAACACCTCATCCCCACACCAGGGCGTTGAAATTGACTTTACCAAGGCGAGGGTGGTGGGTGTGCAGGGGTGGGACGGGCTAGGGGGAGCGCTCATCAGCCAATGGATGGAGGACATTTGTCGGCGGCAGCTGCACCGGGTGGTGAAGGCAGCCGGGCCTGTCAGCCCCCTGTGGGCCCTGGGTGCTGCTTCCCTGCAGCTGGTGCTGCTGCCAGTTCAAGAGTACAGGCAGAACAAGAGGCTCATGCGAGGGGTGAAGAAAGGTGAGGAAGGGTGGAAGGTGGTGCTGAGTCTTGAAATGTCCCGACGCTGGGGGTAAGGAAGGGTGGAGAGGTGCCGGGTGCTCTTGTCAGAACTGGGTGAAGATAGGTGAGGAGCGGCGGGGAGGCATAAACTTTTGAGACATCTCGAAAACTTTTGAGGCATAAACTCACCTCATCCCCCACCACCAGGTGCCATCTATTTCCTCCAGTCGCTCTCATACGAGCTTCTTGGCATGGGGTGACAGTGGCAGCCGGCAAACACCACCTGCTGCAAGCATCAGAATGAACTCAGGTGTTCCTCTCGCCCTCCTCTCTGCCCCTCACCACCCCCACCATCAGGAGCCATCTATTTCCTCCAGTGGCTCTCCCACGAGCTTCTTGGCATGGGGGTGACAGTGGCAGCCGGCACACACCACCTGCTGCAAGCATCAGAACTCGCCCTCACCGCTGCAAACACCGCTAAACCGCTGTGGCGGCCGGCACACACCACCTGCTGCAAGCATCAGAATTAACTCAGGTGTTCCTCTCGCCCTCCTCTCTGCCCCTCACCACCCCCTCCACCAGGTGCCATCCTTTTCCTCCAGTCACTCTCCCACGAGCTGCTGGGCGTGGGAGTGACAGTGGCAGCTGGCACACACCACCTGCTGCAAGCATCAGAACTCGCCCTCACCGCTACAAACACCGCTAAAACCGCTGTGGCGGCCGGCACACACCACCTGCTGCAAGCATCAGAATTAACTCAGGTGTTCCTCTCGCCCTCCTCTCTGCCCCTCACCACCCCCTCCACCAGGTGCCATCCTTTTCCTCCAGTCACTCTCCCACGAGCTGCTGGGCGTGGGAGTGACAGTGGCAGCCGGCACACACCACCTGCTGCAAGCAGCAGAACTCGCCCTGGCTGCCACAACTGCCGCTACAACCGCTACAGCTGGTCCTGCTGTTTCTGCTACAGCCGCTACAGCCAGGCCTCGTCCTCCTCTTACCAGCTCCTCCTCCACTTCCCACCATATCCCTCCGTCCTCTTCCACTCCCCCTGCAGCCCGTTCTTTCTCTTCCCCCTCTTCCTCCTCCTGTTCACTCGCTTTCTCCTCCTCCTCTTCATCACCATCCGCCCGTGCAAGCAGCAGCCGCCGCGATAAGGCGCCTTGCGATTGGCGGGAGCTTGGGGAGCATGGAAGCTTCGAGGAAGGCTCACACTGGGTCACTGTGTTTGCTGACAGCGGCAGCAGCAGCAGCAGCGGTGGCTGTGGCAGCAGCGGTGTCTGTGGCAGCAGCAGCAGCGGCAGTGCCTTTGGCAGTGGTATTGGTAGTGGCGGTGGGGGTTCTTCTGTAGGGCCTTTGGCAGCAGCACAAGAGGTGCTGAACCGCAGTGTGGAAAGAAGCTTGTCCTCGTTATTAGGTGCTCCGTTAAGGAAATGGAGGCGAGGGGACGGAATGCCTGCAGTGGCAGCGGCGGTGGTGAAAGGCATCCCAGCAGCAGCCATGGCTCCTGTGGTGGGGGCGGCTGAAGCTCTGGAGGAAACACTTCGAGGAGTCAAACGCACGTGAGTCTGCTTTCGCGTTTGCTTCTTGCACCTCATTTGAAAACTTCCTTACACCACCCCCCACTCACATTACAATCGCCCTACTCCACACAAATGCACACACACTCATTCCTGCTGTGATTCCCACCCACCTCGCTCGCTCTACTACATACAAATGCACACACACTCATTCCTGCTGTGATTCCCACCCACCTCGCGTTCCCACCTTTACAGGATTGCACCAAGGCGATAGAGGCCGCCCGGCATATTTTTGAAAGGGTCTCAATTGCTCTCCCGGGTTCTTAGATTCTCATTTGACGTATTCATTTGTTTGATGGTGCCTGCTGCTCCTATTTAGTGGTTTTATAAGTCTTCCTATCGTTTGCCTTTAGGGTAGCATTCTGCAACTGTGCGTCCATATTCAGGGCGTGAGGCAAACTGAACACACCGACGGAATTGTTACAACTCGCAATTCTTTGGTATTCTTTGAGTTACGCATTCAATTGTTGGGCAAAGGAATCACGGCGAGGGTGTAGCCGAGGCCCTGCATCGCCGTGTATCATAAACGAGGATGTGCTCAAGGCGGGGACACATTAGCCTTCCAGCAAGCAATTAGTAGTATTTTCTAGCTTCTACAAGCAACCTGACAAATTTGTTTCTTCCCTCGCTCTGGTTATTTTCGCGCCCAATCGCAACCCTTCAGTCGCCTTATAGCGTCGGCGATTATCTTAGGAACACCCTCAGACTGGCCCCTGGCGCGCGCGCGCACACACGATCTAGCGAAGCGAATCCTTGACTTGTTGACTTTTCGTACTCGTTGGCTAGTTGACCCCTAGACGCGTTGACTTGTTGACTAGTTTTTCATGCCGTCTTGAGCTCCCTGCGAAACGCCTCACCGTCATGTCGTCCGCGGAGAGAAACGACTTATTGAGTGAAACCGGGGGAGGTGGAACTGGGGAAGGTGTGACCGGGGGAGCTGGATCTGGGGAAAGCGGATCGCAGCAGGGGGAGGGGAGCGCGCGCGCAGGGTCGGCGGAATCGCAGGGGGAAGGGAGTGCGCCGTCGCGCCAGGCGGAAGCGCAGGCGGAGGGGAATCCGCCCGCAGAGCAGCAGGAGGAGGGGAGCGGGAATTCCGCGGGGCAGGCGGAGCAGAAGGGGGAGGGGGGCGGGCGGAAGAAGCCAGTGGTTGTGATCGTGGTGGGCATGGCAGGTACCGCCTGGTGATGTCAATCAATGTGTATTCCTGGTGATTCTCACTATGAGCTTTCGTCTCTCCTTTCTTAGCAATTGCCTCCTATTCTCGCCCTTCCACTTTTCCGCTCTTCCTTCTCCTTTGTTCTCTGTCGTCCCTCTCCCCTCTCCCCTCTCCCCTCTCCCCTCTCCCCTCTCCCCTCTCCCCTCTCCCCTCTCCCCACGTCCCCACTACAATCACACGAACCTGCAATAACACGAATCATGGGGCGTTGTAGCCGTTTTGAGACGTCGCAACACTCGTTTTCCCCACACAAACCTGCAACCTGCAAACCTGCAATAACAGACAGCGACTTTTGAGAATTCTAAAAAACACTCGTTTTCCCCACACAAACCTGCAATAACAGGCAGCGGAAAGACAACGCCAATGCAGCGGCTGTATGCGCACATGCCCGGCTGTACCCTCCGTGCCCATTGAGCATCCCAACGCCTTTCTCCCGTTTCTCCCCTTTAACCCCATTCAGGCAGTGGGAAAACAACCCTGATGCAGCGCCTCTATACGCGCACATGCACGGCACAAGATAGCTCACTACCTCATGAACCTCGACCCGGCTGTGCCCTCCGTGCCCATTGAGCATCCCAACGCCTTTCTCCCTTTAACCCCATTCAGGAAGTGGGAAAACAACGCTAATGCAGCGCCTATACGCGCACATGCATGGCAGCAAGGTCGCTCACTACTTAATCAACCCGGACCCGGCTGTGCCCTCCGTGCCCTACCTCGCCAACATTGACATTCGGGACACGGTGACACAATTTCAGCATGTTCACAACCCAACCCCGTACCTGCCCCCTCGGCCCTCTGTTTCCCTCCCCCTTTACCTCAAACCACTAGGCAGTGGAAAGACCACGCTAATGCAGCGCCTCTACGCGCACATGCACGGCAGCAGCGTCGCTCACTACCTCATCAACCTCGACCCGGCTGTGCCCTCCGTGCCTTACCTCGCCAACATTGACATTCGCGACACGGTGAACTACAAGAACGTCATGAAGGAGTATGGGCTCGGGCCGAATGGAGCTATCTTAACTTCGCTCAACCTGTTTACGACCAAGATTGATGAGGTGAGGTGGCAATGTTGCACGGAAGCAGTCTTTCAGAAGGAAGTAAACGACACAAGACTTCCTTGGACCAATGTCGTTTACTTCCTTCAGAAACACACGGTCAACTACAAGAACGTTTACAAAAACTGACTCGGATGATTGCGAAAACGTTTCAAAGGAGCACGATACGCATTCCGCCTTTCTTTTTACTGTCAACTTCATTCCATACTGTTACACTTTGCTCTCATCACCATCACCTCCCATTCTCGTTTTTGTCACGCCTCTCAGGTAATCACCCTCGTGGAGCGTCGAGCCAACACGCTCGACTACGTTGTCATCGACGTGCCTCATCTCCCCTTCCCCCTTTCCTCCCTCCTTTGTTGTCACACACCTCGTTACTGTCACACCCCTCAGGTAATCGCATTTGTGTGCCTCATCTCCCCTTCCTTCCTGCCTCCCCCTTTTCCGTTCCATTACTGTCACACCTCTCAGGTAATCAAACTCGTGGAGCGCCGAGCCGACTCGCTCGACTACGTGTTCATCGACACATCCGGCCCGGGCCATTCTACTGAGCCCATTCTACTTGTTGCTAAGCCTTATTTCACTACCGTTTCCCATTCCTGTTACTGTCACACACGCCTCTCAGGTGATCAAACTGGTGGAGCGCCGAGCTGACTCGCTCGACTACCTGTTAATCGACACGCCTCATCTCCCCGTCCCTTTCCCTCCCTCCTTTGTTCTTTTCACACACCTTGTTATTGTCACGCCTCTCAGGTGATCACACTCGTGGAGCGCCGAGCCGACTCGCTCGACTACGTTTTCATCGACACACTACATTGCCGCTTCCCCTTTCCCTCCCTCCTTTTGTCTTTTCACACACCTCGTTATTGTCACACTTCTCAGGTGATCAAACTGGTGGAGCGTCGAGCCGACTCACTCGACTACGTTTTCATCGACACTCCCGGGCAGATCGAAATTTTCACCTGGTCAGCCTCCGGTGCAATCATCACGGAAGCCTTCGCCTCCACGTTCCCCACAGCCGTTTGTTTTGTAGTGGACACGCCCCGGGCGGCGAATCCTGGCACCTTTATAAGCAGCATGCTTTACGCGTGTGGGATTTTGTACAAGACGCGGTTACCGCTGCTGCTGGCATTTAACAAGACCGATGTGGCACGGCACGACTTTGCCGTTGAGGTATGCTCGGGTTTTGAAGGGTTATTGGGTGATTATAAGGGGGTACAATGTGGGATTCTGTACAAGACGCGGCTACCGTTGCTATTGCCATTTAACAAGACTGACGTCGCACGGCACGACTTTGCCGTTGAGGTATGCTCGGGTTTAAGGTATTTGGGTTGTACGGGGTTTTAGGGGATAACGTACAAGGCACGGTTACCACTGCTGCTGGCTTTTAACAAGACCGATGTCTCCCGGCACGACTTTGCCGTTGAGGTATGCTCGGGTTTAAGGTAGTTGGTGTGGAATGGGATTCTGTAACAGGACTTGGTTACCGCTGCTGCTGGCGTTTAACAAGACCGATGTCACCCGGCACGACTTTGCTGTTGAGGTGTGTACATGGGGTTCAAGGGTATTTGGGGTGTAAGGGGATGCGGGATGGGATTCTGTAACAAGACGCGGTTACCGCTGCTGCTGGCGTTCAACAAGACTGATGTGGCATGGCACGAATTCGCTGTTGAGGTATGCTGGGGTTAAGGGGTTCGAAAAGGCACCTTTAAAAGTAGCACGCTGTACGTGTGTGGGATTCTGTACAAGACGCGGTTACCGCTGCTGCTGGCGTTTAACAAGACAGACGTTGCACGGCATGACTTTGCCGTTGAGGTATGTTGGGCTTTGGGGTTTAAGGAATTCCAAGTAAGGGAGTATGTATGGGTACCATTGCTATTGACGTTTAACAAGACAGACGTTGCACGGCATGACTTTGCCGTTGAGGTATGTTGGGCTTTGGGGTTTAAGTAATTCCAAGTAAGGGGGTATGTATGGGTACCATTGCTATTCCAATGTCAATAGCAATGGTTACCGTTGCTATTGACATTTGACAAAGACTGACGTTGCACGGCATGAATTTGCAGTTGAGGTATGTTGGGCTTTTGGGTCAAGAGATTTCAGGTATTTGGGGTAGAAGGGGTTGTGGGATTCCCTCTGTACAATACACGGTTACCGCTGCTGCTGGCCTTTAACAGTCCTGCCCCATTCCTCCGTTCCCAAGAATGGTATCAAAGTCACGCATCCATTCTCTCCCCCCCTCTTTCCTCCACCTCCCCCCTCTGTACCAGTGGATGCGTGACTTTGAAGCCTTTCAAGCAGCAGTGGATCGAGATCCTTCCTACGCGGCCTCTCTCTCTCGCTCCCTCTGCCTTGCCTTGGAGGTGTTTTACTCCAACCTTCACGCTGTTGGAGTCTCGGCTGTTACAGGAGGGGGGATCAATGAGTTTTTCACCGCTATCGAGGCGGCCAGAAAGGAGTACATGGAAGGCTACAGGTGAGAGCAACTTTTTTTTTGCGCCCCTTAGAGATTCAGCCAGAAATTCAGCCATACTCGAATTGAATAAATCTTACTTTGATTAATCTTGCAGGGTGTGTCTGCAGTACGTTTCAATCTCCAATTGCTTTCATAGCTCAATCCATGATTTGTCTCTTGATTGACTGTTTGGCATGCAGGGTTGACTTGGAGAAAATGAGAGCAGAGAAGGAGAAGAAAGATGCGGAGAGGCAGAGAGCGGAAATGACCTGGTTTCGTGTGGACTCCGCTTGATTGTTGTGTATTCCTTTCCGTCTCACACTGTTTGGCATGCAGGGCTGACTTGGAGAAGATGAGAGCAGAGACGGAGAAGAAAGAAGCGGAGAGACAAAGTGCGGAGATGGCCCGATTTCGTGCGGACTCTGCGGGAGAGAAGGATGCTTTGGCCAGACGAACTGGGAAGATGAAATTGGATGACGATGGGGAGGGGATAGAGGAGGATGAGGATTTGATTGATGAGGAAATGGAGGAGGATATGGAAGATGAGGACGATGATTTGTAACCGAATGCTGCTTGTGTCATTGTGTTGACAATGAAGCCAATTGGTAAGTTTTCGGATTTGGTACTTCGTTTTTCAAACAAGCACATGTACTAATAAAGATCCTCCAAGTGCGACTAGTAACGCGGACGTCGCGTTTGAAGGTCTGGTTTCTCGTGTACACCACCACCATCCATGCCGCCATTATTTCCGCCTCATCCTCGCCGTTCATCGGGAGATCGCCATTCCCCGCATCGCGAATTCAGGCCACCAACCCACCACCCGCCGCATCTCCCCTTTCCTGGCTCAGTCTTCTCGCCAGCACCATCCCGTACCGCGCATCCCGCCGTTCCGCGCATCCCGCCGTTCCGCGCATCCCGCCTTCCCGCGCATCCCGCCGTTCCGCGCATCCCGCCGTTCCGCGCATCCCGCCTTCCCGCGCATCCCGCCTTCCCGTGCGTCCCTTCTTGCTGACTGCCTTCCGCCTCGTCCCGCTTTTCCCGCCGCGCGACCCGTGACTAGAGCATTCTTAACGATCCTATCTCACCCTTTTCTATAAGCCGAGGCGATCCCTCTTGAATCACATACGTTTCTTCAATCAAATGTCATCCTCCCGATCCGTTCAGCATGTTTGTCGAGCCGCTTTCAGCCACGCGTCGCGGCAACTCACGCACCTTCCGCGGCCGTCACCATCCCGAACCGCGATCGCCTCTCCGTCCAAACTCTTTGCCAACATTTCCGCCCATCGTTCCGCCCATTGCTCCGCCCATTCTCCCGTTTCCGCTTCCCCAGCTGGATTCCGGTCGTTTCCTTCCGTTCCTCTGTCCGTCAGTCCCTGATCATGGGACCAGTTACATCTCGACCGACTAACCCATCAGCTAGCTGCTCCTTTATAGCTGCTCCGCTAGATCCATTACTAGCCTGTCCAGACTAATAGACGGTGCCACTATCAGCCGCAGTTCAAAGCCCACTTTAAGCTCCAGCGCTGTCACCTGCACTCCCATTCCTTCGTCTGCCCCTTCATCTGCCCTTTCATCTGCCCTTTCTGCCCGGAGATTCTTCGGCAGCAAGATCAAAGTGAAACCCTACTCGTGAGTAGCCCCATCTTTTGTCACACCCCATATCTCTATCACATCCCAGTGCCTCTCGCCTGTTCTGTCGCCCTTCATTCTCCACTTCCCCTCTCTCCCTTGCTGTTCTTTGAATTATACTACAGCGCCGGTTCAAGCTGCTAGCCGATGGCGAGTACAAGCAATGGGGGCTGGCAACACAAGGTCTAATGCGCTTTCAATAAATGCGCATTTATCCTTCTTCCCCACTTCCCCTCTCTCCCTTCCCGTCCATTAAAGCTCACTCAAGCGCCGGTTCAAGCTGCTAGCCGATGGTGACTACAGGCGGTAACGGGCAGGCAAAGTTGCCTTGAAGTGTTTCCAACAGAACTTCCAGAAACCTATCTTTGATGAAGCACACACACGCTCTTCCATCTTCCCAACCCCCCAACTACCCCTCTCCCGCTGTTCTCTCTGTGAAGCTCACTCAAGCGCCGGTTCAAGCTGCTAGCCAATGGCGAGTACAAGCAGTGGGGGGCAGGCAACACGAGGTTTAATGCGCTCTTAATACACGCACATTTATCCTTGTTTCCTGCTCACCCTCTCTCGATTCCTGCTCTGTGAAGCTCACTCAAGCGCCGGTTCAAGCTGCTAGCCAATGCCGAGTACAAGCAGTGGCGGGCAGGCAAGATGTGACCCAGTCAATACACGCGTTTATCCTTACTTCCCCTCTCTCGGCTCTATTTGTGTCCAGGTCACTCAAGCGCCGGTTCAAGCTGCTAGCCAATGGCGAGTACAAGCGTTGGCGAGCAGGCAAGAGGCATAACGCGAGCACCAAGGTATGTCTGATATGAAGCTTCCAAGTCTTGAGTCGACTCAAAATCTTCCCAGATTTTGAATCGACTCGAAAGTAGCTTCCCAAGTCTTATGATGGTTCCAGTTGCCGTCGCATTTGAACGACTTTGCTGCACGTATTTCCTTAACTCCTTACTTCACCTCTTCCTTCCGCTTCCTTTCCCCTTTTCACCTTTTCCCTCACTTTCCTTTTGCCTCTCGTCACCTTTAAACCCATTTTCGCCTCACTAATCTGCAGACTAAGAAGCAGAGGAGACAGCTGCGGCAGCCATCAGTAGTGCCTCCAGGGCTAAAACAGCCCATGCGGTACCTGGGTTTTAAGAGGTAGCACATTCACTTCAAGACATAGCCACTTGAAACTAGAATCAGATGCATCTGGGGCAGCTACCAGTGGTGCTTTCAGGACTAAAACGGCACATGCGATACTTTGGCTTTAAAACTGGGGTACACATTAGGATGGGGAACAGTAAATTTGGGGGTTTAGGCCGAATTTGGCCGTAATGTGGGATCAAGGGATAACCCCTGATGCCCACCCAGGTGAATGTGCACCCCGGTGGTTGATGGATTCTGCTCCAGGAAGTGGTAACTTGGTGTTAGAGGTAGCTGTGACTGGTTAGATACCGGTAGTTCCAAGGGAGATGAGATACAGCCAATGAGAAATCGAGGTCAGGAAACGGCGCTTGTGTGAAATGTGCACTGCGGGCCACAGAGTGACTGCTGTCTGAGTTGATTGTTGCTGGTTTGTCATTGTGGAGGGACGAAGCAGGAGCGCTGTCCTTTGTACGGTACTCCCAATGTGATGGCTAGCTCAGGCCTACGGTACCATACGAACATCACGTTATAGCATTTAACTGGAACAAGGTACTAACCGTTTGCATCATTTTGTTCACCTTTGAATTGCTGCACTTTCACATTACATTATAATATCAATTTGTGAGTCCTTTCACCAGAGTCACACTATATTGTTGTAACACCGCTCTCTCTCCCAACACGAAAACAGTGATTTGATGCCCCATTGCTGAGTGGTCACATGCTGAATGCCTCACTCTAGTCATATACGTAGTAAAGCATCACAACACAGTGCATGATGCATCCATTCCTTTCCCCTCAAGTCACAATCCAGTTCTCCCTTTGACACGAACTCCCTTATGAGCCGCACACCTCACTCTACCCTTCACAGCAGCTTCCTCGCAGGTTCCCCCACCAACAAGCGGCGCACCACAAGTCACAACAACACCCACATCCCCAGCACATCTCCCAGACACTTGTTCTTGAGCCACCTGTTGAGGCACCTTCAGGGGGACCTGTTGAGGTGCTACGGAAACTTTTGAAACGTCTTTTGAGTGAGGGGATGACTGTTGAGGCTCTTTTTGAGGCGCTTTCCAAGACAGCTGTTTGGGTGCCTCGAAACTTCAGGACTTGCCTTGACCCTCATGCCCTTGTGCTCGGCAGCGCACTCGCCCTTCTACTGCTGCTTGCATACAAACTCCCCCATGCGAGAGTGGAGCCCACCAAAACTTGGTTCCACAATCCCCTTGTCTTTTCTCAGGTGTTCTGCCAGGTGATCTGTCAGGAGTTTTTGTCTGTTGGTCTACCTGGCGGGTGCCTGGTGGTCTATCCTGTGGTTGTTCTGTCGTGGGGCTTAGCAGAAGAATAATTAGCATGGCCGACGGCAGAAGGAGACAGAACGTGAGTCAGCAGCAGGAGAAGCAAACACCGGAGGCAGAAGGTGAGTCAGGAGGAAGGGGAGAAGCCACCGCAGCAGCAACAGCAGCAGAAGCGAGAGGGATAGCGGGCCCAACAGCCACAGGAGTGACGAGGCGAGCGACGGGAAGGAAGGGAAGGCCACGGCGACACGGCGGAGAGGACGGGCCGATTTGCAGCTTGGTCAAGAGTCGCTCGTGGCGGCGGTGGTGGTTGTTTGCAGACGTTCCAGATGTAGTCAAAGGAGGAGAGGAGGGGGTTTCCGTTGCCGCTGCCTCTGCCTTTGTTGCAGCCTGGAAAAGAGGGATGGGGATGAGGATGGGAGGATGGGAACCGGGGGGAGAGGCGATGAGGACGGGGAAGGGGGTGAGGAATGGCGGGAGAAGGACGGCCGACTTGGAGCGGTTAAGAGGCGGTCGTGGCGGCGGTGGTGGTTGTGTTGCAGACGTTCCAGATGTAGTCAAAGGAAGGAGGAGGAGCATCTCTGTTGCCGCTGCTTCTTCTGCATTTTCTGGGCGCCTGGGAAAAAAAAATGGAGGGGGGTGAGGGGGAGGATGGGGATAAAATATCCAGAGGCAGTGAGGGATGATAGTCAGGAAGACGTGGTGATGGTTGTTGCAGACGTTTCAGATGTAGTCGAAGGAGGCGAGAAAGGGTCTCTGTTGCAGACGCCTCTGTTGGGGAGAGGGGGGGTGGACAAGGAGGGTTGTTGCAGACGTTCCAAATGTAGATGAAGGAGGCGGGGAGGAGAGCGCGAGAGGAGAGCAGCGCGAGGAGGAGAGCGCGAGGAGGAGAGCGCGAGGAGGAGAGCGCGAGGAGGAGAGCGCGAGGAGGAGAGCGCGAGGAGGAGAGCGCGAGGAGGAGAGCGCGAGGAGGAGAGCGCGAGGAGAGAGCGCGAGGAGGAGAGCGCGAGGAGGAGAGCGCGAGGAGGAGAGCGCGAGGAGGAGCGCGCGAGGAGGAGAGCGCGAGGAGGAGAGCGGGAGGAGCGAGGAGGAGAGCGCGAGGAGGAGAGCGCGAGGAGGAGAGCGCGAGAGGAGAGAGCGCGAGGAGGAGAGCGCGAGGAGGAGAGCGCGAGGAGGAGCGCGCGAGGAGGAGAGCGCGAGGAGGAGAGCGCGAGGGAGAGCGCGAGGAGGAGAGCGCGAGGAGGAGAGCGCGAGGAGGAGAGCGCGAGGAGGAGAGCGCGAGGAGGAGAGCGCGAGGAGGAGAGCGCGAGGGGAGAGGCGAGGAGGAGAGCGCGAGGAGGAGAGCGCGAGGAGGAGAGCGCGAGGAGGAGAGCGCGAGGAGGAGAGCGCGAGCGAGGAGGAGAGCGCGAGGAGGAGAGCGCGAGGAGGAGAGCGCGAGGAGGAGAGCCTCCTTTGCTTCGGCCTTGCTGGTTGCCTGGGAGAGAGGGGCGGAGCGGATTGGATCGGGGGATGGGCGACAAAGGGGAACAGATAGGCAAATGCACTCCATCTAAGCAAGATAAGAGTACGTACAGGGGTCCAGCGGAAGGTGAGAGCATAGTCCTGTGCGAACACCCCTTCAAAGAGCTCCCTCAGGTGCGACCCTGACTGCCCGTACTGCTGCATCCTGCTCCTCACATTCTCCGAATGTCCCCCAACAACAGACAAATGCCCTCTGCATTCCTAACACACGGCTTACAGAGGTCCAGCGGAATATTAGAGCATGGTCGTGTGCAAACACCCCTTCGAACAGCTCCCTCAGGTGCGACCCTGACTGTCCATACTGCTGCATCCTGCTCCTAACGCTCTCCGAATGTCCCACATACACCACCCGCACCGGCAAGGAACAAACACAAACACACCGATAGAAACAAACACCCCGATCACAGGCAAATGCAGAGTGTGTGTTCAGTCTAACCAAGGGCTTACAGGAGTCCAGCGGAAGGTGAGAGCATAGTCTTCCGCAAACACCCCTTCGAAGAGCTCCCTCAGGTGCGACCCAGACTGCCCGTACTGCTGCATCCTGCTCCTAACGCTCTCCGAATGTCCCACATACACCACCCGCACTGCTGCTGCTGCCGAATGCCCCTTCAGCCGCCGCTGCTGCCGAACCACCCGGTTCGGCAGGACCCCGAGCTCGTACACGCCCGGGCCGGTCTGGCTGGGAAGGTTTGCAATGCGGTACCGCTTGAGAATGGGACCAATCATCAGCGGCAATTAGAAGCTGGCGCGAAGAGGGGAGGAAAGCAATTGGAGCGGAAAGGGACGAGAGGGAAGGGGGGAACAAGCAAACATTGGGTGTCATACATCTTCCAGGCCAGCAAAAAAAAAACGGGAATGGAGAGAGGACGTATGTACTAGATTTACTCAGTATTTATATACATATTTTTAATACAGTACCTTCCATTCCGAGAAAAGCGCGTCGTGTTTCACCCGCCAGCATTTTTCCCTCAACGGCTTTGAAGCTTCAGTATGGTCAGCTTTGTCGACGAATTTTTTTTCGTGGCCTTTCTTCTTTGTTCTAACGCCGCTGCTGCTGGTGCGTGAACCCATGGGAATGGCGACTCGCGAGTTTCGTCTTCTAAAACCGAGAATAAGGCTAAAACCACCTGATGCGGAAACAAGAACCAGAATGGTACGGCGAGTTTTGCGTGGAAACACTACTTGGCGAGTCTTGATTTACGAGGAGCACAAAGGTCTTATCGTGTCAGGTTAGCGCAATATGTCGGGTATTTCGACGACGACGGAGCATGATGGCACAGTGCGGTCTAACATGCGAAACGGACAGCAAAAACTAGGAATGGCTAGAAGGCACGAACTGGGCTGTAAAAATGAGTGAGAATTATACTGTACGACCAATGGCCCCCGGGGCAAAAGGGAGGCATGGCGCATCCGCGACCTGCAACGGTTCTTTCGATCACCTACTCACGCCTTTCGCAAGCTCCCGATTTGTTCGTGCGTGGTTTCGCAACGCTGGGTGTCTCCACTCCAGATTCCAGCCGTCACTTTCGGGACTTTCGGACGCGGGTTTGGGAGCGTTCGCGACCTCCTCGTCACGGCAACGGATATAACCATGAGAGCTCAACAAGGTTACGGATTCTTGGCGAAACTCTTCGCATGAAACTCTTGTCAACAAGCCACGGTGTTTCGTGCGCGGGAATAACTCCGAGTGGGACTCCTATCCTTGATAGTGAAAGCTGCAATTGTAGTTGGCGGTAGAAAATTTACAACCTATGTTCCATACGACTTCCTTCCAGCTCTCGGCTCGGCATTTTCGAGGCGAGGCACACGGAGCCTCGAAAATTGCCTTGCCACGTCCTCCAGAATTTTTGGGCCTATCAGAGCAGGAAACGAAATTCGTGGAGATTCCGAGGAGGGAAAGGAGAATGCATGAGGAAACTCGAATGGACACAGGCATCAATGTGTCACCTGACAGCTGTGGCAGCTCGCCCCTCCAGGCTCGCGCTTATTTCAGGCTCGCGCTTATTTCAGGCACACCTTTCCTTGCCGCAGGCTCTCTGTATCCGTGAGTTGACGGCGAGGTTTCTGTCACTACTTTCAGCCTTCGCCAGGTTTCTGTCTATCGTCTGGTGCGAATGTCAGCGACAATATCCTCGCTTCAAGCCAGCACGGGAGTTACCCGTGCTGCATCCGCGTTTAGCGTCGCACCGATATCGTCGTCCGCTCACAGCAGCTCTCGCCTCCTCTCATCGCCCAGGAATCAGTACTTCCGCGATGGTCGGGTTACCAAAAGGCAGTCCCACTTTTCGCGAATCTCCAAGGAGTTTCTTAGCGGATCATACCCGGGTGGCGATTTGAACCCGCTTAATTTATGCCAAGCGAGAGAGCGCGGCGAGAGAAGCTTGAGCGTACGTGGGATCAGGAGCCAAACTGTCATGGCGTCGATTAGCGCAGACTCAGAAGGTGAGGGTCGTCGGTCATCCTTTATTACAAGTGAATTTTGACTTGAATTTTGACATCCAGGGCTTGGAACGTGGTGTGAGACTTGTCATGACATCCAGGCGTGAGACAGACTTGACATTTAGGCTCGAGGACTTGACATTCTACCGTGAGATTGACATTCAAGCGTGAAATTGACATTCAGGCGTGAAATTTGGCATTCAGGCTTGAGATTTGACATTCAGGCGTGAGATTTGACATTCAGGCGTGAGATTTGACATTCAGGCGTGAGATTTGGCATTCAGGCGTGAGATTTGACATTCAGGCGTGAGATTTGACATTCATGCGTGAGATTTGACATTCTGGCATGAGAGTTTAGTCCATCCCCATCCTTTCCCAATCCCACCCCACCAGCCTCCACGACAATCGTGTGGTTCAAGCACGACCTACGGGACAACGAACAACCATCCAGGCCTGCACGCTTTCACTGTTTATATTTATAAAGCGCCATTCCGCACATCCCCCTTCCCCCTCTCCTTCCCTTCCCCTCACTACACAACCCATCAGCCTCCACGACAATCGTGTGGTTCAGCACGACCTACGGGACAACGAACGACCATCCAGGCCTGCACGCTTTCACTGTTTATATTTATAAAGCGCCATTCCGCACATCCCCCTTCCCCCTCTCCTTCCCTTCCCCTCACTACACAACCCATCAGCCTCCACGACAATCGTGTGGTTCAGCACGACCTACGGGACAACGAACGACCATCCAGGCCTGCACGCTTTCACTGTTTATATTTATAGAGCGCCATTCCGCACATCCCCCTTCCCCCTCTCCTTCCCTTCCCTCACTACACAACCCACCAGCCTCCACGACGATCGTGTGGTTCAAGCACGACCTGAGGGTCAACGACCATCCAGCTCTGCACGCCCTCTCTGCTGCTGCTGAAACGACTGAATCCGCACGACTAGCGTCAGCAACAACAAGCTATGCAATTCCGCTCTTCGTTCTTGATCCGAATCTCCTGTCAGGTAGCAAGCAGTTTTTTTCTCTGCTCTTTCTGCCCTCCTAACTTTCTGATATCACCCTTATCTTTGCATATCAATCTCAACTTGTCCCACATAATTGCCTCTTACTCAGCCTTTTCTCCCCTACTCTTTGGCCTCTTCTCCCCTTTGACCCTCACTTACCACGTCTCTTACTCGCGTCTTACTCATTCACCCACCTTGTTCCCAGCCCTCCCAGGCAGCCAGCTTCCTCTGCTCCTCTCATCCGTCGCCTCCCTGCGTTCCTCTCTCCGCTCCCTGGGTTCTGACCTTGTCATTGCTCGAGGGGACTCCACGGCTGCCATCGCCACACTGTGCAAGCAGGTATTCATCCCATCGCCACACTGTGCAAGCAGGTATTCTGCAGCTCTTGCCTCCAAGTGCAAAAGGCGCCTTCTAATCTGCGGATCGAATCAAACCAGTGTATAATCTCCCAAGTAGCGTCCCCTACCTCTCTTTCCCAACCCCACCAGCCAACCCCCAACTAACCCTGGCTCCACCTCCTCATTATCTTCCCCGCACACACATCAGTCCCCCTAGCACCATCTCAGGCTCCTTGTGTCCACTTTACTCGAACCCCCGTCCCCCTGTTTCCTCATTTCTGCACCCCTGGCACTACTTCAGGTTCCCTCTGTCCGCAATGTAGCAGCAGAAGAGGAGGTGGAAACCTGCTGGAAGCTTCCGCTGGAGCAGGTCCGGTCAGCATTGCTAGCACCAGGGCAACAGAAGCAACGGGAAGCGGAGGAGGAGAGGAGGGTCTCTGTGGAGACGTGGCGAGCTGCACTGCACGACTGCCAGGTATGGGTGGATGGATGATTTGACTGGCTTTGACTGGTTTGACTGGCTTGTCCGGTTTGAGTTGAGAGTGTCAGGGTGACTCTCGAGTCGGCTGAACGGCAGCAGCAAGGGGAAGTGGAGGAGGAGAGGAGGGTCTCTGTGGAGACGTGGCGAGCTGCACTGCATGACTGCCAGGTATGGATGGGTTGCTTGAGTGGTTGTGTGTGAGGACTCAGGTCCACTGCAGGTTCCCTCTGTCCGCACTGTCGCGGAGGAGGAGGAGGTGGAAACCTGCTGGAAGCTTCTAATTGATCAGGTCAGGTCATCTTTACTAGCACCAGGGCAACAGCAGCAAGGGGAAGCGGAGGAGGAGAGGAGGGTCTCTTTGGAGACGTGGCGAGCTGCACTGCATGACTGCCAGGTATGGATGGGTTGCTTGAGTGGTTGTGTGTGAGGACTCAGGTCCACTGCAGGTTCCCTCTGTCCGCACTGTCGCGGAGGAGGAGGAGGTGGAAACCTGCTGGAAGCTTCTAATTGATCAGGTCAGGTCATCTTTACTAGCACCAGGGCAACAGCAGCAAGGGGAAGCGGAGGAGGAGAGGAGGGTCTCTGTGGAGACGTGGCGAGCTGCACTGCATGACTGCCAGGTATGGATGGGTTGCTTGAGTGGTTGTGTGTGAGGACTCAGGTCCACTGCAGGTTCCCTCTGTCCGCACTGTCGCGGAGGAGGAGGAGGTGGAAACCTGCTGGAAGCTTCTAATTGATCAGGTCAGGTCATCTTTACTAGCACCAGGGCAACAGCAGCAAGGGGAAGCGGAGGAGGAGAGGAGGGTCTCTGTGGAGACGTGGCGAGCTGCATTGCATGACTGCCAGGTATGGATGGATTGCTTGAACGTGGTTGTGTGTGAGGACTCAGGTCCACTGCAGGTTCCCTCTGTCCGCACTGTTGCGGCAGAGGAGGAGGTGGAAACCTGCTGGAAGCTTCCAATTGATCAGATCCGGTCATCTTTACTAGCACCAGGGCAACAGCAGCAAGGAGGAGCGGAGGGGGAGAGGAGTGTCTCTGTGGAGACGTGGCGAGCTGCATTGCATGACTGCCAGGTATAGTGCAGCCAGGCAGGGGAGCTGCCAGGTATGTGTGATGAGTCGCTTGAGTGGTTGAGTCAGGGTCCAGGGTGACATTTGAGTTTACTAAAAGGACAGGACTGTCCCGGTCAGCCTTGGACACCAGGGCAGCGGCAACAGGAGTTCGAGGAGGAGAGGACGGTCTCTCTGAACACGTGGCGAGTTGCGTTGCATGACTGCCAGGCATGGCTGAGTGATTGAGTGGCTTGACTGATTGAGATTTAGTCAGAGACCAGGGTGACAGTGTCCATGTGACACTTGGGAGTTCTTGAGGGTGTGGCCAGCCTTAACAGCACCAGGGCAGCAGAGAGGGGCGGAGGATGAGAGGAAGGTACTCTTGAAATTTGGCGAGTAACGTGTTACCCTCTTCTCTTGCGTACTTGCTTCTTTCCCCACACCTCCCGCCACTAGGACCCCCTCGCACTCAAATCTACGACCTTCAAGCCAGAGAGGTGGCAGCCCTGCCCTCCTGTTTTTAAACAGCTCACTACTTACCTTGCCCCGTCCTGTGCCCTCCGTGTGTCCCTTCCTTTTCGCTCCTTATGCCCCACCCCTTCCACCCCCCAGGAACCCCTAGCACTTGAGTTCACCACCTTCAAGCAGCAGCGGGGTCAACCTTGCCCTCCTCTGCCTCCCCCCTCTGCGCTTCCCCCCCTCCCTGCTGGCATTGAGTCTGGTACGTTCTTCCCTTCCCGTGATGTATTTTAAGTTGACTCTAAAAGTGGCTTCATTTGTTATGAAGTCTGTGGGTAGCATTGAATCTGTCCCCCCCCCCCCCTCTTGCATCTTTCTTTCTCACTCTCAACTCATCTCTCCCCTTTTTCCTTTGACTACCATTCAAAATGGTGTGGAGGGGCCTTGAAATGTTCCTTTAACATCCTGCTGTCTCTGTCTAGTGGAAGTGGTGTTTGCCATTGTGACTGTAAGTAAGTTCCTAGGCATGTTTGGAAGGACCTGTGCGATGCGTGTACTTTCTATCTTTGTAGCAACTAGCATTTCGCATGTATGAAAGATGATACAAGCTGATAAACCACTTCCTCCCCTTTCCCCCTCCCTTTCCCCCCTCATTTTACTGCTCTCTTTTCTTTCTCTCTTGTTCCTGCAGGAGCCTTGCCTTCACTAGAGGAGCTCTTTTCACTGGCAGGAAAACAAATGGTCGGAACAAACATTCAAGAAGCATCTTCACAAATTCTACAAGTAGAAGGAGAGGCATCAGCGCTCTCTCTCTTATCTCAGTACCTCCAGGCAGATTTGAAAGGGGGAAGGAGGGGAGCAGGAGAAGCCGGTCTCACAGGTGGTAACTCTGTAACTGCAAGTAAACCATTGAGTGAGGTGGTTCTAGAGCTAGAGGTGGTTCCCCGGGCGTCGTTCCACGCGCTCTTTGCTCCCGCGCTCTCCCTCGGGCTGCTCTCTCATCGCTATGTGCATGATGCCGCTCGCCGCAGTGGTGGTGACAGGGGCTCGACTGCAGCGGCTGCAATCGACACTGTGGAGGCTAGAGAGGTGCGTGTGTGTGAGTGTGTGTGTGTGTGTGTGTGTGTGTGTGCGCGCGCGCGCGCGTGTGCGTGTGTCTGTGTGTGTGGCATTGTGATTCGGGGCCTTAACAAGGCTGTTCTCTCATCGCTACGTGCACGCTGCTGCCCGCGGTCTGGATGCCAAGGGCTCGACTGCAGCGGCTGCAATTGACACTGTGGAGGCTTGAGAGGTGCGTGTTTGTTGTGTGACATTGTAACAAGGCTTCTCTCAGATTTCTTCCTGCATGCTGCTCGTTACAGCAATATTTTATGGTGAGGGAGAGGAGAAAGCGGCGACGGAAGAACTTGTTGAATTGTTGTTTGCATTTGTTTCGGATGCTGCCGGCCTTTTCGAAAGAGTGCGAAGGGAGCTTGAGAAAGACGTGTGATGTGTGGGGAAGGTGTGTGAGAGGGCGGATGTGAACTTGGATTCAGTGGAGTGGGTGGTTGCGTGTACCCCCCCGCTCAAAGTGCTCAATTTGATACGGCTCTTGAGTGTTTGAGGGGGGTTATACGCCATCACTCACTCCACTCAAGGGTTGACTGAAAAGTCAGGGGTGCTCAAGATGATATGACTCTTGAGTGTCTCTGGGGGGGTTGTACTCCACCACCCACTCCATTCAGTCCGGATCCACGTCCGCCCTGTCACACACCTTCTCCCCCATGTCACACATCTTTCCCAAGCCCCCCTCGCACTCCTGCGGAAATGCCGGCAGCAACTGAACTACAGCCAACACCGTTTCAATGCCGCTCAGGGAAGGGGAAGGTGAAGGTGAGGAATTAGTGTGACTGAAATTTTTTGTGCGAGTGAGCTTCAGTATGGACGGTGCTCTGCACAAAAAATCACGCACGTACATATACCTTCTCTCTGTATCGCTCTCCTCTCTCCCCCCCCCCCCCCCTTCAATGCCCTCCCCTCCCCTCCCCTCTCATCCCCCACAGTGGCACACAGAGATGGCTCTTCGGCCCCACACAGCCATGCCTCCTCCTCCCACCCCCTTCTCCTCTTCTTCTTCCTCCTCCTCTTCTGATACCGACACCTCCTTCACCACCTCATCTGATTATTCTTCCAGCGAGCTCTCAGATTCCGACTTCTCCTATTCATCCCTCTCCTCATCAACCTCATCCGCCTCCTCCTCCTCATCTGCATCGGAGTCAGAGGGTGAAAGCAGCAACACCTTTCTATCATTCCCGGCCTCTGACGAGTTTGAGCCCACGGTTGGCCACTGGAGGTGGAGGGGTGCGCTTATTCAGGTAAGCCTCTCTTCTTCATCCTCTGCCTCATCCTCCTCATCATCTTCATCGGAGTCAGAGGAGGAAAGCAGCAACGCCTTCCTCTCTTTCCCTCCCTCTGACGAGTTTGACCCGACTGTTGGCCACTGGAGGTGGAGGGGGGCGCTCATTCAGGTGAGCCTCTCTTCATTCTGACCTGTCCTATTCATCTCTCTCCTCATTAACTCATCCGCCTCCTCTTCCTCCTCATCTTTATCGGAGTCAGAGGAGGAAGGCAGCAGCGCCTTCCTCTCTGTCCCTCCCTCTGACGAGTTTGACCCCACGGTTGGCCACCTTGGAGGTGGAGGGGCGCTCTCATTCAGGTAAGCGTCTCAATGCCCGTTGCTCGTGGCTTTCTCTTGTCCTCGTCTGCATAGGAGTCAGAGGATGGAAGCAGCAGCACTTTCCTATCGTTCCCTCCCTCTGACGAGTTCGACCCAACCGTTGGCCACTGGAGTTGGAGGGGAGCTCTCATTCAGGTAGACCTTCCTGTTGTTTTTTGCCATGTTTGATTTATTTTGCCTTGTTTTTTTTAATATTATTATTTATTTGTTTTTTTTGCTCCTCAGGTTTGCACACTGTTTGAGGCGACTCGCATCGTGTCTTTCTGATTTCCTTAGGTGCCTTCCGCAATGTCATGTGCCCTCCAGCTGCTCTCATTCAAGCTGCCTTTTCTTCCACTCCTGCGCCTCTCTCCATCCACACCCTTGGCACCTACAGTATGGCTCTGCGGGCACAGAGGGACCGGCCATTCTCTTTGTTCACGGATTCGGTGCATTCTGGCAGCATTTCCGAGACGGTGGCCTCTAGCAGCCTCCGGGCACCGCGTTTGGGCGCTCACACTGCCATCCTCCCCCACATTCCCCTCCCAGTATGGGTGTGCAGGCACAGAAGGACCGGCCATTCTCTTTGTTCACGGATTCGGGGCGTTCTGGCAGCATTTTTGAGACCTCATGCGGCCCCTGGCGGCCTCCGAGCACCGCGTTTGGGCGCTCACACTACCACTCCCATTCCTCACCTCTTTCAACCTTATTCCACCTCCAGTATGGCACAGCAGGCACAGAAGGACCAGCTATTCTCTTTGTTCACGGCTTTGGAGCGTTCTGGCAGCACTTTCGCGACGTCATGCGGCCACTTGCAGCCTCCGGGCACCGCGTTTGGGCGCTCACGCTGCCCGGGTTTGGCCGGGCAGAAAAACCTTTTTGGTCGTACACACAGTACGTGTGGCGCGACTGCGTGGCGGATTTTATCCGCGAGGTGGTCGGCGAGCCGGTGGTTCTGGGCGGCAACTCCATTGGAGGTGGGTGGCAGCGAGCGGCAAGTCAGCTCACCATTTATTCTGGTTTTGCCGCATTTTAATGCACATACCGTCTCCTCCTTTTTTCACACACGCCTGCTCTTTCCCCTTTATCTCCCCCAATTCTCTGCCCCTCTTTTACCCAATCAGGCTACACCGTTTCTTCAGTTGCCGCCCAGTGGCCCGACTTGGTCTCCTCCCTTGTCTTATTCAACTCCGCCGGCCGCATCGACCCAGAAATCCCCGTCCCCACCACCTCCTCTTCCTCAGATTCCTCTGATTCCTCCACCTCCTCCAATTCCTCTGATTCCTCCTCCTCCTCCTCCTCTTCCTCCCCCTCTCCGCCTCCTGACGGCCCTTTATCCAAGGGCCCTCCCAAGCCGGTTGCATGGCTTCTCTCTCGTGCTCTCTTCCTCTATCTGAGGTTCAACACCGGCCCCATTCTCAAACGCTGCTACCCTGTGGTGAGTGTGTATAAACCGAACAATCAATCACAAGCCCACAACGGGCGTCATGTAAGGTGTGGAAAATTTGTGGGGCTGCTGCTGTCTCATGCTCTCTTCCTTTGCATGAGGTTTCATGCAAAACATCTTTTAAATCCTATTCTGGAGGGATGTGAAGAGGGACAGAGGAATGAGAATTGGAGAAGCAGGTTCAGGTGCTGCCGGGGGGACGGGGGGACGAGACCAGGAAAAGAGGTGGTAGAGGAACTAGAGGAGTGCGTTGGCCGCACACATGGTGGCACAGCAGGCACATTGGAGACGTGGTGGGGAGGATGAGTGGAAAGAGCGAGAGGAGGCCATGTTTTTTCCTTTCATCTTTCCCACCACGTCTCCAATGTGCCTGCTGTGCCACCGTGTGTGCGGCCTTCACAGTCCTCTAGTTCTTCCACAACCTCTTTTCTTAGTCTTTGGTCTCTATCCTACCCATTCCCCTCGGCAGCTCCCAAGCTTGCTTCTCCAATTCTCATTCCTTCGCCCCCCTTCTCATCCCTCTCAACCCACTCTTATCTCACCATAATTAAAGAGCCGACAACTGGTTGCCAGAGGAAATCTCCCGAGCAGCAACGGACCTTGGGGGCAGTGAAAGTGGTGGAATGCGCCTTCTACCTGCCCCTTCCATACTCTTGTTTCCTCTTCCAACCCTTTGTTTCCCACCAGACGCCAGAGAGGGCAGATGACTGGCTGCTAGGGGAAATCTCCCGAGCAGCCACTGACCCGGGGGCAGTGGAGGTGGTGGAGAGTGCCTTCGACCTGCCCCCTTGCTTGCCCTCCAACCTTTTTCTTGGTCCTTCTACCCCCCACCAGAGACCTGAGCGTGCTGACGACTGGCTGCTCGGGGAGATCTCCCGAGCAGCAACGGATCCGGGGGCAGTGGAGGTGGTGGAAAGCGCCTTCTACTTGCTCCCTTCATTCCCCCCACCCTTCCCCCCCCCTCTCATATCCGTCACTCCCCTTGCCTTACCCTGCCTTCAACAGAGGCCCGAACGGGCAGATGACTGGCTGCTAGGGGAGATCTCCAGAGCAGCAACGGATCCGGGGGCAGTGGAGGTGGTGGAAAGCGCCTTCTACTTGCTCCCTTCATTCCCCCCACCCTTCCCCCCCCCTCTCATATCCGTCACTCCCCTTGCCTTACCCTGCCTTCAACAGAGGCCCGAACGGGCAGATGACTGGCTGCTAGGGGAGATCTCCAGAGCAGCAACGGATCCGGGGGCAGTGGAGGTGGTGGAAAGCGCCTTCTACTTGCTCCCTTCATTCCCCCCACCCTTCCCCCCCCCTCTCATATCCGTCACTCCCCTTGCCTTACCCTGCCTTCAACAGAGGCCCGAACGGGCAGATGACTGGCTGCTAGGGGAGATCTCCAGAGCAGCAACGGACCCGGGGGCAGTGGAGGTGGTGGAAAGCGCCTTCTACTTGCTCCCTTCATTCCCCCCACCCTTCCCCCCCCCTCTCATATCCGTCACTCCCCTTGCCTTACCCTGCCTTCAACAGAGGCCCGAACGGGCAGATGACTGGCTGCTAGGGGAGATCTCCAGAGCAGCAACGGACCCGGGGGCAGTGGAGGTGGTGGAAAGCGCCTTCTACTTGCTCCCTTCATTCCCCCCACCCTTCCCCCCCCCTCTCATATCCGTCACTCCCCTTGCCTTACCCTGCCTTCAACAGAGGCCCGAACGGGCAGATGACTGGCTGCTAGGGGAGATCTCCAGAGCAGCAACGGACCCGGGGGCAGTGGAGGTGGTGGAAAGCGCCTTCTACTTGCTCCCTTCATTCCCCCCACCCTTCCCCCCCCCTCTCATATCCGTCACTCCCCTTGCCTTACCCTGCCTTCAACAGAGGCCCGAACGGGCAGATGACTGGCTGCTAGGGGAGATCTCCAGAGCAGCAACGGACCCGGGGGCAGTGGAGGTGGTGGAAAGCGCCTTCTACTTGCTCCCTTCATTCCCCCCACCCTTCCCCCCCCCTCTCATATCCGTCACTCCCCTTGCCTTACCCTGCCTTCAACAGAGGCCCGAACGGGCAGATGACTGGCTGCTAGGGGAGATCTCCAGAGCAGCAACGGACCCGGGGGCAGTGGAGGTGGTGGAAAGCGCCTTCTACTTGCTCCCTTCATTCCCCCCACCCTTCCCCCCCCCTCTCATATCCGTCACTCCCCTTGCCTTACCCTGCCTTCAACAGAGGCCCGAACGGGCAGATGACTGGCTGCTAGGGGAGATCTCCAGAGCAGCAACGGACCCGGGGGCAGTGGAGGTGGTGGAAAGCGCCTTCTACTTGCTCCCTTCATTCCCCCCACCCTTCCCCCCCCCTCTCATATCCGTCACTCCCCTTGCCTTACCCTGCCTTCAACAGAGGCCCGAACGGGCAGATGACTGGCTGCTAGGGGAGATCTCCAGAGCAGCAACGGACCCGGGGGCAGTGGAGGTGGTGGAAAGCGCCTTCTACTTGCTCCCTTCATTCCCCCCACCCTTCCCCCCCCCTCTCATATCCGTCACTCCCCTTGCCTTACCCTGCCTTCAACAGAGGCCCGAACGGGCAGATGACTGGCTGCTAGGGGAGATCTCCAGAGCAGCAACGGACCCGGGGGCAGTGGAGGTGGTGGAAAGCGCCTTCTACTTGCTCCCTTCATTCCCCCCACCCTTCCCCCCCCCTCTCATATCCGTCACTCCCCTTGCCTTACCCTGCCTTCAACAGAGGCCCGAACGGGCAGATGACTGGCTGCTAGGGGAGATCTCCAGAGCAGCAACGGACCCGGGGGCAGTGGAGGTGGTGGAAAGCGCCTTCTACTTGCTCCCTTCATTCCCCCCACCCTTCCCCCCCCCTCTCATATCCGTCACTCCCCTTGCCTTACCCTGCCTTCAACAGAGGCCCGAACGGGCAGATGACTGGCTGCTAGGGGAGATCTCCAGAGCAGCAACGGACCCGGGGGCAGTGGAGGTGGTGGAAAGCGCCTTCTACTTGCTCCCTTCATTCCCCCCACCCTTCCCCCCCCCTCTCATATCCGTCACTCCCCTTGCCTTACCCTGCCTTCAACAGAGGCCCGAACGGGCAGATGACTGGCTGCTAGGGGAGATCTCCAGAGCAGCAACGGACCCGGGGGCAGTGGAGGTGGTGGAAAGCGCCTTCTACTTGCTCCCTTCATTCCCCCCACCCTTCCCCCCCCCTCTCATATCCGTCACTCCCCTTGCCTTACCCTGCCTTCAACAGAGGCCCGAACGGGCAGATGACTGGCTGCTAGGGGAGATCTCCAGAGCAGCAACGGACCCGGGGGCAGTGGAGGTGGTGGAGAGCGCTGCTCCCCTTTCCCCCATGCCCAGCCCTTACTCTCGTTTGCCACTCTTTCATTCATCTCTTCAATCTCCTCACCAGAGGCCTGAACGAGCGGATGACTGGCTACTTGGCGAGATTTCCCGAGCAGCCACGGACCCGGGGGCGGTGGAGGTGGTGGAGAGTGCCTTCTACCTGCCCAAGCCGGAGCCCCTCAACAGCCTGCTCATCCGATACAGCGGGCCGGTGCTGGTGCTGCAGGTATGGTTATAAAGGCTTATACACTAGACTGCTTGAGGTACGGTTGATGCAGAGGTGGGCAGTGTTGTGTTGGGAGCAGTGCAGGTGATGGGGGTGGAGAGCGCACTCTACCTACCCAAGCCAGAGCCTCTCAACAGCCTGCTTATTTGATACAGCGGGCCGGTGCTGGTGCTGCAGGTATGGTTATAAAGGCTTATACACTTGACTGGTTGAGGTACGGTTGATGCAGAGGTGGGCAGTGTTGTGTTGGGAGCAGTGTAGGTGATGGGGGTGGCGAGCGCACTCTACCTACCCAAGCCAGAGCCTCTCAACAGCCTGCTTATTTGACACAGCGGGCCGGTGCTGGTGCTGCAGGTATGGTTATAAAGGCTTATACACTTGACTGGTTGAGGTACGGTTGATGCAGAGGTGGGCAGTGTTGTGTTGGGAGCAGTGTAGGTGATGGGGGTGGCGAGCGCACTCTACCTACCCAAGCCAGAGCCTCTCAACAGCCTGCTTATTTGATACAGCGGGCCGGTGCTGGTGCTGCAGGTATGGTTATAAAGGCTTATACACTAGACTGGTTGAGGTACGGTTGATGCAGAGGTGGGCAGTGTTGTGTTGGGAGCAGTGTAGGTGATGGGGGTGGCGAGCGCACTCTACCTACCCAAGCCAGAGCCTCTCAACAGCCTGCTTATTTGATACAGCGGGCCGGTGCTGGTGCTGCAGGTATGGTTATAAAGGCTTATACACTTGACTGGTTGAGGTACGGTTGATGCAGAGGTGGGCAGTGTTGTGTTGGGAGCAGTGTAGGTGATGGGGGTGGCGAGCGCACTCTACCTACCCAAGCCAGAGCCTCTCAACAGCCTGCTTATTTGATACAGCGGGCCGGTGCTGGTGCTGCAGGTATGGTTATAAAGGCTTATACACTTGACTGGTTGAGGTACGGTTGATGCAGAGGTGGGCAGTGTTGTGTTGGGAGCAGTGTAGGTGATGGGGGTGGCGAGCGCACTCTACCTACCCAAGCCAGAGCCTCTCAACAGCCTGCTTATTTGATACAGCGGGCCGGTGCTGGTGCTGCAGGTATGGTTATAAAGGCTTATACACTTGACTGGTTGAGGTACGGTTGATGCAGAGGTGGGCAGTGTTGTGTTGGGAGCAGTGTAGGTGATGGGGGTGGCGAGCGCACTCTACCTACCCAAGCCAGAGCCTCTCAACAGCCTGCTTATTTGATACAGCGGGCCGGTGCTGGTGCTGCAGGTATGGTTATAAAGGCTTATACACTTGACTGGTTGAGGTACGGTTGATGCAGAGGTGGGCAGTGTTGTGTTGGAATTTGGAGGGCGGGTGCTGGTGCTGCACACTGCAAAGAGTGTGAATCGTGGTACTTGCATGGCACGTCTTCTACCTGCAGCACCAGCACTTTAGAGTCGACTCAAAAGTCAGCTCATGAGTCGACTCAAAAGTCAGCTCATGAGTCGACTCAAAAGTCAGCTCATGAGTCGACTCAAAAGTCAGCTCATGAATCGACTCAAAAGTCAGCTCATGAGTCGACTCAAAAGTCAGCTCATGAGTCGACTCAAAAGTCGGGCCGGTGCTGGTGCTGCACACTGCAAAGAGTGTGGATCGTGGTAGTACTTGCACGGCACGTCTTCTACCTGCAGCACCAGCACTTTACCACGTGCCTGCAGGTAGCCTGCAGCTCCCTTTACCCCCTCCCGTTCCCCCTGTTGTTACCCACTCTCCTTCCCTGCAGGGTAGTCTCGACCCTCTCAACGATGCAGTCGCAAGGGCCAACCTCATCACTGTTTCCTACTATAGCATTTTCCCTCCTGTTCCCCTCCTGTTCCCCTCCTGTCCAACCCGTTTTCCCTTCCCTGCAGGGTAGTCTCGACCCTCTCAACGATGCAGTCGCAAGGGCCAACCTCATCACTGCCACTTGTCCTGGAGTCGCCTTGAAGCTCCTCAAAGCAGGTGGGTGCTACTTGGTTGGACTGAGAAAGCAGGCTGATGTGTGGGTTCCGTGAAAGCAGTCTTGCTCTCTCCCCCATCTTACCCAACCTCATTACGGCCACCTGCCCTGGGGTCGCCTTGCAGCTCCTCAAAGCAGGTGGGTGCTGCTTGGTTGGACTGAGAACAGGCTGATGTGAGGGTTCCGTGAAAGCAGTCTTGCTCTCTCCCCCATCTTACCCAACCTCATTACGGCCACCTGCCCTGGGGTCGCCTTGAAGCTGCTCAAAGCAGGTGGGTGCTGCTTGGTTGGACTGAGAACAGGCTGATGTGTGGGTTCCGTGAAAGCAGTCTTGCTCTCTCCCCCATCTTACCCAACCTCATTACGGCCACCTGCCCTGGGGTCGCCTTGCAGCTCCTCAAAGCAGGTGGGTGCTGCTTGGTTGGACTGAGAACAGGCTGATGTGTGGGTTCCATGAAAGCAGTCTTGCTCTCTCCCCCATCTTACCCAACCTCATTACGGCCACCTGCCCTGGGGTCGCCTTGCAGCTGCTGAAAGCAGGTGGGTGCTGCTTGGTTGGACTGAGAACAGGCTGATGTGTGGGTTCCGTGAAAGCAGTCTTGCTCTCTCCCCCATCTTACTCAACCTCATTACGGCCACCTGCCCTGGGGTCGCCTTGCAGCTGCTCAAAGCAGGTGGGTGCTGCTTGGTTGGACTGAGAACAGGCTGATGTGTGGGTTCCGTGAAAGCAGTCTTGCTCTCTCCCCCATCTTACCTAACCTCATTACGGCCACCTGCCCTGGGGTCGCCTTGCAGCTGCTCAAAGCAGGTGGGTGCTGCTTGGTTGGACTGAGAACAGGCTGATGTGTGGGTTCCGTGAAAGCAGTCTTGCTCTCTCCCCCATCTTACCTAACCTCATTACGGCCACCTGCCCTGGGGTCGCCTTGCAGCTGCTCAAAGCAGGTGGGTGCTGCTTGGTTGGACTGAGAACAGGCTGATGTGTGGGTTCCGTGAAAGCAGTCTTGCTCTCTCCCCCATCTTACCCAACCTCATTACGGCCACCTGCCCTGGGGTCGCCTTGAAGCTCCTCAAAGCAGGTGGGTGCTGCTTGGTTGGACTGAGACCAGGCTGATGTGTGGGTTCCGTGAAAGCAGTCTTGCTCTCTCCCCCATCTTACCCAACCTCATTACGGCCACCTGCCCTGGGGTCGCCTTGAAGCTCCTCAAAGCAGGTGGGTGCTGCTTGGTTGGACTGAGAAAGCAGGCTGATGTGTGGGTTCCGTGAAAGCAGTCTTGCTCTCTCCCCCATCTTACCCAACCTCATTACGGCCACCTGCCCTGGGGTCGCCTTGCAGCTCCTCAAAGCAGGTGGGTGCTGCTTGGTTGGACTGAGAAAGCAGGCTGATGTGTGGGTTCCGTGAAAGCAGTCTTGCTCTCTCCCCCATCTTACCCAACCTCATTACGGCCACCTGCCCTGGGGTCGCCTTGAAGCTGCTCAAAGCAGGTGGGTGCAGCTTGGTTGGACTGAGAACAGGCTGATGTGAGGGTTCCGTGAAAGCAGTCTTGCTCTCTCCCCCATCTTACCCAACCTCATTACGGCCACCTGCCCTGGGGTCGCCTTGAAGCTGCTCAAAGCAGGTGGGTGCTGCTTGGTTGGACTGAGAACAGGCTGATGTGTGGGTTCCGTGAAAGCAGTCTTGCTCTCTCCCCCATCTTACCCAACCTCATTACGGCCACCTGCCCTGGGGTCGCCTTGCAGCTGCTGAAAGCAGGTGGGTGCTGCTTGGTTGGACTGAGAACAGGCTGATGTGTGGGTTCCGTGAAAGCAGTCTTGCTCTCTCCCCCATCTTACCTAACCTCATTACGGCCACCTGCCCTGGGGTCGCCTTGCAGCTGCTGAAAGCAGGTGGGTGCTGCTTGGTTGGACTGAGAACAGGCTGATGTGTGGGTTCCGTGAAAGCAGTCTTGCTCTCTCCCCCATCTTACCCAACCTCATTACGGCCACCTGCCCTGGGGTCGCCTTGAAGCTCCTCAAAGCAGGTGGGTGCTGCTTGGTTGGACTGAGAACAGGCTGATGTGTGGGTTCCGTGAAAGCAGTCTTGCTCTCTCCCCCATCTTACCTAACCTCATTACGGCCACCTGCCCTGGGGTCGCCTTGCAGCTGCTCAAAGCAGGTGGGTGCTGCCTTGATTAGTATTAAGAAGTCCGCTTGCGGTTCCACTAACAACAACCCGTCCGTTTGTTGCACTGAAGTCACATACGTCCTTGTTACTTGAAAATTGTGTGGGTTTAGTCACCCTATCAGCTTGACTCCAAAGGCGACTGCCCACGTGACAAGGTGCCAGAGCAAGTGCCGTATCACATGGACCAATGGGCTCGTCTCGCTCCGCACACAGGCTTCCCATTCACACCCCCATCTCCATTGTCCCACCCCCCCATCTGCCCTCCCCGCTTCTGAGACGTCTCAAAACTCTTCTCGCTCTGCACACAGGCTTCCCATTCACACCCCCATCTCCATTGTCCCACCCCCCCATCTGCCCTCCCCGCTTCTCCATCACCCAGGGCACTGCTTTTTTAGAATTCTCAAAAACCAGCTCGCCATCACCCAGGGCACTGCCCCGATGACATGACAGTATGGTGCCAAGGCCGGTGGCCTGCCGCATGGACCAATGACCTGGTAATGCCCTCTCGCACACATGCCTCATGTGAATACACTTCCCATTTCCGACCCACCTCCATTGCTGGCCCCACACCCCACCCTCTCCTTTTCCCCCCACCACAGGGCACTGCCCTCACGATGAGGTGCCAGAGCAGCTGGCGTTCCACATGGACCAAAGGGCTCGTCTCACACACACACAGAGGTCTCCTATCCACAGCCCATCTCCCCTTTTCCCTCTCCACTTTACCTCCCTTCCTTCTCCCTTCTTTTCCACAGGGCATTGCCCCCATGACGAGGTGCCAGAACAGGTGGCATATCACATGGACCAATGGGCTCGCGCCACGTGGTGCTCTGTGGGCGAGGAGGAGGGCGACGGGCCGATGGGAGTGCGGCGAGCTGCAGCAGCAGCCAGATCTCCTGCTGATGCTTTGGAGATTTTAGAAGAGGAAGCAGCTGTGGGGGTGTTTGGGGGGATGGTGGGCGGTGGGAAGGGGACTGGAAAGAAGGGTAAAAAGGATTAAGCAGAAAGAAAAAGCAATCGCAGCAGGAGCAGCAGCAGCGGCGGCGGCCAGGTCTCCTGCCGATGCTCTGGAGATTCTGGAAGAGGAGGCGGCTGTGGGGGTGTTTGGTGGGGTATTGGGAGGAGGGAAGGGGACTGGAAAGAAGGATAGAAAGGAATAAGAAATGAGGAGGAACTGCAACACAGGGAGCAGTAGCAACATCAGCGGTCAGATCTCTTGCCGATGCTCTGGAGATTCTGGAAGAAGAGACGGCTGTGGGGGTGTTTGAAGGGGTATTGGGAGGAGGGAAGGGGTCAGGAAAGAAGAGTAAAAGGGATAAGCTGAAAGAAGCAGTAGCAACAGCAATAGCAGCAGCGGCCAGATCTCCTGCCGATTCTCTGGAAATTCTGAAAGGCAAGGCGGGTGTGGGGGTGTTTTGGGGAGTATTGGGGAGTGGAGGAGATGTGTGAAAAGATGGGATGGAAGAGGGAAGGCAGAATGGAGAATTGAAAAAATACCAAGGCAATATGTGCAGAAGTAGGGGCAGCAAAAGAGGCAGCCAAAGAGGCAGGCCTTGTTCTGATGCACTGGAGATTTTACTTTCAAGTATTTTATATGGGTTTGGCAGGTGGAGGAGGAGAGATTTTAGGTTGGGACTCCCTGGAAAAATAGTGTAAAATGGATTTTCTTGATTGTATTCAACCTTCTTCATGCAATCGATATCATACTGCCTAAAGACAGCTCTTTTAACGAGTACGAGCGCTGAGATGGCAGACCAACTCCACCACATAAACACAACCCGAGATAGTCTTCGCGCCAAATTATTCGCCTGTGAGTCGGGCATTTTCTCCTAGGCTACTCATCAGTAAGAACTACTGGTACACTAATTAGTTTCCTCAACCCTTGAGATCACACGAAGCTCGGCCAAACCCGTTCAGTTCATCTCGATACTCCTTTTTCCGTTTCTGTCATGGCTACAAACGCGATTCAAGTTGCAACCCCGCTCCCCCGTGCTCCGCTCCCTAAATGCCGCGCCCCTCTCTCGTTGCGCGCAGCACTCTCTTCTTCAAGCGGCTCCGTCAGAACTAGTCGATTAATTACCGTCTCCGTTCCACCGCCTTCTCCTTCAGCTAGGCGATTAAAGCGCGCTCTAGTAACATGCGACGCGGCTCCGGGAAACGCGCCTGGAGGAGAGAACGGCGCGGCGAAGGCGAACGGCGGGTCTACAGATGGGTCAGAGGAGATTAAGGATGTCAGAAAAGGCGGCGCGAAGGAGAATGCGGCGGTAGCGAACGGTCGGGAGAGTCGCCAGGAGAAGCGGGAAGATCAGGTCTGGGGGCGGCGTCGTTTGTCGGATCTGGAGCGGGAGATTCTCGGGGTACAACGGGGAGACGGGGTTCCCGCCTCCCCCAAGGGGGAAACTTCCGCGCCCCCTCCTCCTTCCGCGCGCCCGCAGCTTCGCAGAAGGTGAGACTTGACGTGACACCTTGCCATCCGTCTTAGTGTTTTTTTTTTCTTCTTCTCCATTATGCTCAAAAGCAACTCAGATATTGCCCCCTTCCTCGTTCTCCTCCTCTCCCCTCCCCTCCTCCTCCACCGCCCTCCCCACACCCCCCGCCCCCGGCCTCTGGCCACCTCAAAAACGAGCTGGACGAGCTAGCAGGCGTTTTGCAAGATCGGAGGAGGTATGGAGGGGTGGAAAGCGGTAGACGATTTTTTGGCAAGCCTCTCATGCCCCACGCTTCCCTCTGTTTTTTTCATCCCCCTTTCCATGTCTCAGGGACCCTAATTCCAACCAGAAATCAATTTTGGATGAACTGGACGAGCAGGGGTTTGGGCAGCTTAGCGCGGAGTGGGAAGCGGTGAATAAATTTTCAGGTGACTGAATACCCCTCTTCCGCATGCGCCCACCTCTCCCTCCCCTTTTCTCACCCCCCCAGGGATCCTAGTTCCAACCAGAAGTCGATTTTGGATGAACTGGACGAGCAGGGGTTTGAATTCTGAATTTGGGCAGATCGAAGGGGGTGTGGAGGAGTGGAGAGCGGTAAATTATTTTGAAGTTGACTCAAACCCCTTCCAACCACCCCCTCCTCACCCCAGGGACCCTAATTCCAACCAGAAGTCGATTCTGGATGAACTGGATGAGCAGGGGTTTGGGCAGCTCAGCGGTGGTGTGGAGGAGTGGGAAGCGGTGAAGTCCGCTAAGAGAGTAGGCGAGTGGTTGGAGGAGAAGACGATCAAGAAGGAAGGGGAGGATGAAATGGCAGGTGAGTGTGCGAGGGTGTGAAGAGTGAGTGAGAGAGGATTTGAAAGGGAGTGTGGGAGGAGGGTGAATGGTAGGAGGGTGAATATAGTCTGGGATAGTGGGTGAGTGGTTGGAGGAGAAGGCGATCAAGAAGGAGGGGGACGAGATGGCAGGTGAGTGTGAGAGGGTGTGGGGAGTAAGTGAGGGGGTGTGGGGAGTAAGTGAGAGAGGAGGGTAATTATTGTCTGGGTTTGGGATAGTGGGCGAGTGGTTGGAGAAGATGATCAAGGAGGGGGGGGGATGAAATGGCGGGTGAGTGAGAGAGGGGATGTGAATGGCGGGAAGGAGAGGATGTGAAGAGTGAGTGAGGGAGAAAAGGGAGGAAATGAGAAGTTTGAAGGAATGATAAATAGGGTGGGTGTAGATTGAGAGAGAGGGCGAGTGGCTGGAAAAGAAGACGATTTGGAAGGAGGGAGAGAATGAAATGGCAGGTGAGTGAGGGAGGATGGGAAGAGTGAGTGAGGGAGGACGGGAAGAGTGAGTGAGGGAGAATGTGAGAAGTGAGTGAGTGAGAGGGGAGGAAGGTTTATTAGGATATAGACTGAACGGTTCAGGGTTGAAGGTTATGGGTATAGGGGTACCAGAGAAGAAAAGGTTAGCTTAATACCATTGTTCAAGGGTCAGGGTTCGAGGGTACCGGGGTTGAAAGGTTCAGGGTGGTGGGGTATTGGAGCAGATGAAGTGTGATCTAAAAGGCATGAATTGGGTGTCAAAGGTGATGTTAGGGCGAAAGGATTGGTAGTATAGCGTGACTTTTGAGAATTCTCAAAAGTCACTCCAATATATTGGTAGTATAGCGTGACTTTTGAGAATTCTCAAAAGTCACTCCAATATATTGGTAGTATAGCGTTTAGTGTTCAAGAGGTGGCGAGGGCTGGTATAAGAGAAAATTTCATGGTTTCATGGATTTATTTTAAGATTTTTTAGTTTCAGGGTTACAATGTAAGCCAGCGGATACAAGGTGGTGAGGGTTTGGAATTTCAAGTTGATTAGGTCTTAGATTGGAGTGAGGAAGGAGGAATCAGGGTGTGCGAGAGTGGGCGGGTAACTACTCGCTGGATCTTTTGAGAATTCTCAAAAAGTAACTACTCACTGGATCTCAACAGTCAAGAAAACAAGTCCTTCCTCTTCCCATCTTCATCCCATTTCTCCATTCCCCCCAGTTTCAGCCTTGTGCTCCGTGTGGGAATTTGAAGTGTAAAAAAAATATCCACTTCCTCATTTTCTAATGTGTGATGAGTCGATTTTTGAGTCGACTGAAAAATCGACTCATCACACGCAAAAATATATCCACTTCCTCATTTTCTAACCAAGTCCTGCCTCTTCCCGCCTTCATCCCTCTGCACCAGGTCCCCCGCTTGGGTTCAGCCTCGTGCTGCTTCTGGGAATCTTCCCTGTCTGGCTTTTCCTGGTGCTAGTGGCAGGGGGATGGGTGGAGCTGCCCCCGCAATTATCCTCGTTACAGGATTTCCTCACTACCCCCTAAAAGGTTCATATATAGTACAGTACTAAATAGCAAGTCTCCCAATAAGATCTTTATACATCCTACCTGCAATCACCTAGGCTTGGGTTCGGGTTAACATCAATGTCCGTTGCTGCATCTGTGATGAACTGTGTATGATCATGTGCTACATCAATGTGGCTAGTAACTCCTCCACAAAGAATCCAGTAGTTTTTGTAGTTTCAATGTTGCATTGTGTACACCTAAGAAAGGGCTTACAGGTACACTGGTTCAGAGTAAATGCATGTACGAAATTATGCATATAGGACCCACTTAGGGAAATATGCATACATATTAATGTCGCCATGCAAAACAGCTGGCTGATATACCGTAGTATGCACTGCAATATTATATGGTATTACTGGCCTTGTTACACCCGCACTGCCATTATGTAACATTTCACTGGTTGATTCTGTGATGCCAAAATGCATACACACAACACTGAGGCGGTTACACACGTGGAATGATCCCCATGCGGGGATAGGCGGCCTGAATAGGACAAGCCATAGAAGAATCGAGGAGTGGAGGTTATGAAACGTCTTAAGAATTGGAAAAATAATGAGCTGGCGCAGAAGTCACTCGTGGGATAAGCAGTTTGAATAAAATTAAGGTTTGCTAGGAAGAAACATAGAGAGATGGACTTTTGACATGTCTAGGAAGGGGGGGGGGGGGGAGGGGAGGGGGGGGAGGGGAGGGGGGTGTGGGGGATAGAAGGAAACACCATGTCCATGCGTAGAAACCAGGCTGCTTGGTTGGTGGGTCCCATATATTTGTGTGATAACTATGGTACAACAATGTAGGAGGCAGAGCACTTACTAGCTGGCGCGGGCGGGTTTGCTTCAGCCCCGTGCCCTTGCCCTTGCTGCTTTTATCGTTGGCCGTGTTTGAGGTGTGTGCGGCTGCGACCAGGTCTTGAAGCTTGGCGTGTAGTGCATGGCGCATCTGGGTATTGGGTGGGATGTGTCAGGTGGGATGGGGTGAGGGGGGATGCGGTGGGGTGGGATAGAAAGGGATGAGATTCAAACATGTAATCAATGGCTGCTGATGCTGCTCCTATCTGTGATGTAATCAGTTGCCGTGTTTGGGGTGTGAGGGGTGGCGATCAGGTCTTGAAGCTTGGCGCGTAGTGCATGGCGCATCTGGGTAGCAAGGATTGGTGGGGTGAAATGCGGTGGGGTGGGATGGGAAGGGAAGGGATGAGATGGGATGGGATGCGATCACACAAGCAAGGACTCCTGTTTCGTAGCGCATTTCCAACATGAGGAAGATGGGGAGGACAGGAAGGATGGCAAACACAGAGTGTGTCGTGTGCCATTGTAACGAGGTGACTTTTGAGTCGACTCGGAAGATGGGGAGGACGGGAAGGATGGCAAACACAGAGTTGACCATGCAATGACCTTGGCCTGCCAACTCACCTGCCAGGTCTCCACTGTGCCGCCCGTTTCATGGCGCATCTCCAACATGAGGAGGCCGAGGAGAATGGCAAACAGAGTTGCGCTGATAGGCACACATGCACACATGCACACATGCACACATGCACACATGCACACATGCACACATGCACACATGCACACATGCACACATGCACGCATGCATTCTTGCGATCGTGCAATGACCACGCACCTGCAGGGACTGCTGTGTGCCGCCCAATTCATGCCGCATCTCCAACATAAGGAGGCCGGGGAGAATGGCAAACACCTGCATGGAGGCATGGAGAACGCACAGGCATGCACGCATGTAAGTGCGTATTTAGAGGGGCACACATACACACTTACGCCCACAAAAGACCCCATCTTGACCTCCACAACTACAGCTGCACTGACAGAGTTCCATGCACTCCCACACACCCACAGTCATGCCGGCATTTCCCTTACCTCCACAACCACAGCTGCAACTAAAGAGTGCCTGGCCACAGCAGGTGACATCTCCACATCTCCAGCCGAACCAGAAGCAGCAGCAGCAGCAGCAGCAGCAGCAGCAGCAGCAGCACCAGCAGCAGCATCAGCAGTTTCTGTCGTTTCTTCCGCTTCTTCTGCTTCTTCTGCCACTGAGGGTGTGGCTCCATCTGCTCCTCTTGCTTCGGCTGCTGCAACAACTTCGTCTGTGGCTTCACCTGCATCGGTTGGGTCTCTCGTTATTGCAGTTTCTGCAGCTTCTGCCGTTTCTGCAGCTTCTGCCGTTTCTGCAGCTTCTGCCGTTTCTGCAGCTTCTGCCGTTTCTGCTGCCACTGAGAGTTTGGCTGCATCTGCTTCTCTTGCTACTACTGCTGACGTTGTTGTTACAGGGAGAGTAACTGTTCTATTGGTAGCTGGTGCCGTCACTGCTGCTGCTGCTGCTGCTGCTTCTGCTGCTCTTGGTGCTAGTGCTGCTTGTCCCAACTCAAGGCGGAACTGTCCAATAAGGCAAGAACAGAACAGAAGAGGAGAAAATGGCAAGGAGGGATCACAGAGTTGAGCTTGGATAGAGCAAGAGCAGACGGGTAGTAAGAGAAATAATAGCAAACACGTTGTTTCTTTCCCTCTTTTTTCTTGGAAGGGGTTGTGAAAGAGGGGGGGGGGGGGGGGGGGGGGGGGGGGAGGGAGGGGGGAGGGGGGGGGGGGGAGGGAGGGGGAGGGCGAGAGGAACCATGAGCACAAGCAGAAATCCCGCACTTATTCCCCTCACCAGCCTTGAAACCCTCTCCCCTCCCCTCTCCACTCCCCTCTCCACTCCCCTCTCCCCTCCCTCATGAATATAGCTGATTCCCCACTGGCCTTGAATCCCTCTCTCTCCACATGCCAGCCCAGCTCCCCTGCTGCCTCCACTCTCCCAACCAGACGCCCCACGGGCGCATGTGACAAGAACCGGATGTGCTTATAACGCTTATGAGAAATCTCAGAAACTCACCTTGAATCCCTCTCTCTCCACGTGCCAGCCCAGCTGTCCAGCTGCTGCCTCCACTCTCCCAACCAGACGCCCCACAGGCGCATGTGACAAGAACCGGATGTGCTTATAACGCTTATGAGAGATCTCAGAAACTCACCTTGAATCCCTCTCTCTCCACGTGCCAGCCCAGCTGTCCAGCTGCTGCCTCCACTCTCCCAACCAGACGCCCCACAGGCGCATGTGACAATAACCGAGTGTGCTTATAACGCTTATGAGAAATCTCACGAACTCACCTTGAATCCCTCTCTCTCCACGTGCCAGCCCAGCTGTCCAGCTGCTGCCTCCACTCTCCCAACCAGACGCCCCACGGGTGCATGTGACAAGAACTGGGTGTGCTTATAACGCTTATAAGAAATCTCACGAACTCACCTTAAATCCCTCTCTCTCCACGTGCCAGCCCAGCTCTCCAGCTGCTGCCTCCACTCTCCCAACCAGACGCCCCACAGGCGCACGTGACAAGAACCGAGTCTGCTTATACCGCCATCCCTCCTCCATCCCTTCCTCCCTTCCCCCAACACTCAATTCGCCTGCTGCGGTTACTCCTCCTCCTCGACCTCCCTCTCCCAATATCCCACCCACCCCAGGTCTCTGTCGTTCCTGTTTCCCACCGAACAAGGCGGAGCCGTTAAACAATCCTCCAAGGTTGAATCCCTGAGCCAGATTCAGCAGGGCAAAAGCATTCAGCGTCTCTGGTTTGGGACCCTTCTCCCCTCCCCCATCCTCCCTCCCTCCTCTTCCCGCTTCCCCATTCTCTCCACTCTCCCCTTCTCTCTCACCTCCCCATTCCCCACCCGTTCTCCCCCTTCCTTCCCCTCCTCCCCCCTCCCCCCCACTGTCATCCCCACTATCCTCCCCTTCCGCCTCCCCTTCCTCTATAGTCCCACCAACCCCGCCTCTGCTGCCCCTCATACCCCTTACAGTCGCACTCGTTACCCCTCTCACGCCTGCTGCTAAGAGATGCCTGTCCGCATGGGCCTCCTCACATGCACTACTACACGGCGTATCCTCGCTACAGGGAAAATCCTCGCTACAGCCGGGGTAATCGCATGCCGTCGCGCCCTGACACACACTGGCGTTCTTGCTACAGCCGGGGCTGTAGCATGCAACCGGGCCCTGGCACACACTGGCGTGCGTGCTACAGCCGGAGTTGTAGCACACACTGGTGCTATGAGTGCTGTGAGTGCAGCTTGGGCAGCAGCAGTCATTATCTCTCTGGCTACAACTTCGGTTGTAGCATGAGTTGGTATCCTGCCTACAGCTGGGGTCACCATGAAATGCATCACTTGTGCTGCTGCTGCTGAGTGAAAACCCGTGGATGATTGTTGGACTGCTGTTGCCGCTGCTCCTGCTCGCGCTCATGCTAGGACTGGTGGTGGCAGCACTGGTGGTGGTGGTGGTGGTGGTGGTGGTGGTGGTGGTGCTGGTGCTGTTGCTGCTGCTGCTGCTGCTGCTGCTGTAAGAGCTCCTCTTTGCTACAGATCCGCTATTGTTGCTAAGCTTGAAGGACAATCCTCCCAGCTGACAAGACAGCCCCCCTCTGTGCGGATCTTTGAGGGCCCCTTCTCCAGGCTCCGCTGATCCAGCCTGAGCCTGCTGCTGCTGCTCATTCTGCGGCTGCTTCTGCTGACTTTGCTGCTGCTGCTGTTCAGAGCATGCAGCACAACCACTGGTACCCCCACTTGAAACACTGCTATTGCATGTCCCAGTCACGTTCTCACCAGCAGCTAGTGCACTGGATCCAATACCAGCACTGCCAGCATGATCAGCACTGCCGGGAACAGATTTAGCAGCGACAGAAGCAGCACCACTGGCCGTACCAGAAGCAGCAGCAGCAGAAGCAGAAGCAGCAGCAGAACCACCAGCAGGAGCAGCACCAAAGGCAGCATCAACATCACCCATATCATCACCTGTATCCACAGGGACCGGCACAGGAGCATAGTTGGTGCGGAACCATGGGTCCTTTTTTATCTCCTGATACCGATACCTCTGCACAGTTCAGGTGGGTTTGGGGTTTGGGAGGAAGGAAGAAAGAGAGCAAACACTTGTGAGTCGACTCACGACGCTGCTTGCATGCCTTTCCATCAAAACAAGAACAGGAAAACCACACGCCACCACACTCTGTCAGCTCACCAGTTTAGGATTGGCTGATCTCTGCCAGTGATCAGCCTCTTTTCTCCAGTTGAGAAAGCACGTGGGTGAGGAATTCGCAGCGAGTGGCTCGTATGTGTCTCAAACGACCACTCTGCTTCCCAGCTGCACAAATCTGTCGATACAAGACAGACACGCTGACTCACCAGTTTGGGGTTGGGCTGCAAAATGCCAGTGATCAGCCTCTTTGCTCCAGCTGAGAACCATGTGGGAAACCCGAAATCAGACCTTTGGATCTGTGCAGGAAAAAAAAAGGTGGAGGAGAGGGGAAGGGGTGGAAAGAAACAAAAACAAATTCTTGCTCAAAAATCTGATGGAACGGAAAGCAGGAAGCGAGAGGGAGGAATGTACACCGGGGAATGTGAGGAGTGAGGGGTGTAAGGCAGAGAAATGAACCTTTTTGTAGAGCGAAGGAACGTCGGGCTCATCAAAAGGGAGGAAGCCAGCTAAGAGGGCGTATAGAATGACTCCGCACAACCAGATAGCAAGGAGCAAGGAGAAAGAGCAAGTACCTTTCTGTAGAGCGAAGGAACGTCGGGCTCGTCAAAGGGGAGGAAGCCAGCTAGGAGCACATAGAGAATGACCCCACTCGACCAGAGAGCATGAAGCAGGGAGAAAGCCAAGCACCTTTCAGGGAGAGAGAGCAAGCACCTTTTTGTAAAGAGAGGGAACGTCAGGCTCGTCAAAGGGGAGAAAGGCAGCTAGGAGGACGTAGAGAATGACCCCGCACGACCAGATGGCATGGAGCAAGGAGAAAGAGCAAGTACCTTTCTGTAGAGCGAAGGGACGTCGGGCTCATCGAAGGGGAGGAAGCCAGCTAGGAGGACGTAGAGAATGACCCCGCACGACCAGATGTCCGCCAGAACCCCGTTGTACCCTCTGTCACTCAGCACCTGTGCATGTGTGCGGCGGGGGAGGGGTGGTAGGGGAGGAAGAGGGCGAGGGGGAGGTGGAGGAAGATCTGGGAGGACGTAGAGAATGACCCCACACGACCATATGCCCGCCAGAACCCCGTTGTACCCTCTGTCACTCAGCACCTATGCGTGTGCTGGAAAGGGAAAGAGGGAGAGTGAGCGGAGTTGTGAAGGGCGTCAGGAGCGGGGAAGACTAGACGGGAAGGGAGGACTGGAAATCAAGACAAGTCTTCCCAGTGACTTCTGTACCAGCCACGAAGTGTACATTGTGTTGCCGAGTGCATAGTGTGTTGAATGGTCCGTACAATGTTACACAGTCTGTAAGGCGTTATGTTGTGTTACATGGTCCGTGAAGCGTTACACTGTACGATTCAGCAGCAAATATATGCCCAGCACCACCGAATAGAAGGCTCCTACCTCTGGAGCAACGTAGTTGGGTGTGCCACACGTTGTGTGAAGCAAACCGTCTGCCTGCAAAAGCCCAAGAAATCGCAAATAGCAAGAGGGTAAAAAAAGGAAGTGGCGCACAACCACAGATGATTTTATAGTCTACAAAAAAATCGTCAAGAAATCGCTAATTGCAAGAGATTTAGACATGACGAAGGTGGCAATGGCACACAATCACACGGATTGAGGCACTGTTCTTTGAGGCGCGTCAGAAACTGTTAGTAGGCGTCTAGAAATCTCACGAATTCGCAGCAGCAGGAGCAGCCCTGACTCGCAGCAGCAAGAGACTCACCCTGACTTGCTGAGGCAGGGCGCTGAGGCCGAAATCAAAGACCATGACTGCCAGCAAGAAAACAGACTCGATTTTCCTGACTCGGCGAAACATCAGCTGAAGGAGCAGCCCTGACTCGCAGCAGCAGGAGACTCACCCTGACTTGCTGCGGCAGGGCGCTGAGGCCGAAATCCGAGATCTTGATATTATCCTTGGAATCCAGCAGAAGATTCTCCGGCTGGCAGACAGGCGAGATTTCGAAACAAAGGGGGGGGGGGGGGGAGGGGGGAGGAAACTCAGCACAAAAAATGATAAACAAAAGCTTGACATTAGACAGGCTGAGCCCTCCATTTGATTGGCATTCCAAACCAAATTGGAGTACTGCCACAGCACAGCGTTCCATTTTGGCGTGCATTCAACAGCCCACCTTGAGGACTCGGTGTGCCACGCTTTTGCTGTGGCGTCTATCAGCTGCTGGAAGTACCAACCTCTCACTAACTGCTCTGTTCTGGACGCTCTGCTCTGCTCTCAGTTGCAGCATGTGCGATTTCACCTTGAGGTCTCGGTGTGCCACGCCTTTGCTGTGGCAATACTCCATGGCGTCTATCAATTGCTGGAAGTACCGCCGTGCCTCTTCCTCCTCCAGTCGTCCCTTGTTCACCTGCGCCCAGAAAGTAGGCACCACACTCGGTAGTATCAAAATAAGCTAAACTTATAGCTCTTACTATTAACCAACAACCCTGTTTCATTCTCTCAAGGAAAGACTAATAAACCAAACTCGATCACACTTCTCTCTATATGAGCCGTGAAGTCGCTCTGATTGACCCAAAAGCATCGACATGCTTTGTCGGCACTCACAATCTTGTCGAACAGCTCTCCTCCGGTGACGAATTCGAGGATGATATAGATTTTGGTGCGAGATGCGAGAACCTGAAAGCGGGAAGAATGGGTTGAGAAAACAGGCAAGGAAGAGGTCAGGCTGAAGCTCAAACTTCATACTTGTTTCCTATTCATGTTTGCACGCCACCCTTTCAAAAGAGGGAAGACATTAGGCTGAAGTTTGAACTTCATACTTATTTCCTATTCATGTTTGCAAGCCACCCTTTCCCAAGTACTCTCGCTCACCTCATACAGCCGCACCACATTAGGGTGCCGGACGAGCTTCATCACTGATATCTCTCGCTTGATCTGCACACACAGACAGACACACACGCACGCACGCACGCACGCACGCACGCACGCACGCACGCACGCACGCACGCACGCACGCACGCACGCACGCACGCACGCACGCACGCACGCACGCACGCACGCACGCACGCACGCACGCACGCACGCACGCACGCACGCACGCACGCACGCACGCACGCACGCACGCACGCACGCACACACACACACACACACACACACACACACACACACACACACACACACACACAAGGGCCCACAGGCAGAACAACAGAGTCACGCTTCTCAAAACGTCATATGATGCACATCCAAAGCTAAAAATCGCTGGTACGCAAGGTCCCGTCCCCCTCCATACATAGTCCATACTTCCATCCCCACCGGTCGTTCTCCCACCACCATTACCTGCATACGTTTGCCTGGCCCTTCCCTCACAGCCCTGACAGCCCTCACATCCCCTATCAGCCCTGACTTGACAGCCTACCTGGTCCACCATTTTATGCCGAATGATCTTCTCCTTATCCAGCACTTTCATCGCCACCGGTTCGCCTGTCGTCGCGTGCACCGCGTATTTCACCTTCGCAAACGTCCCTTCGCCAAGCGTTCCGCCCACCTCGTACTCGCCGATCCTGCGCGGCGCCTGCACGCGCTGCTGCCCGCCGTTCATCCTCGCCATAAGTACACAGCCGTTAGGGTGTCCAGAAGCGCAAATGTGATATCGTTACCCGATAAATCAGACGCGAAAAAGTTCGCTAGACTCGCAAGTTCGCCAAAACGTTATAATCCTGGAAACTCTCGAGGGGATGTCAGATGTTCAACATGCCAGCTGTACTAGTCACCAGCAGCTACCAGACAACGATTACAAGCCTTCGCGGAGCAGTTCAGATTTGGAATACACGCTCCTGGTAACCTAACATAGAGGAGTGATAATGGGACGAAATAAGCGCTGCAGATGCTGCAGGAAATACGATACTAGAGCGCCTGACCAATTCGAACTTCAGTTCTTCAACACGCTGTCCTCAGTGGCGAATCCGAAATTGCAAGCGACGCGTGCAATGAATCAGTAGCTGCGTGCTCATGGTCGATCTAACGGAGTTGCTTCACGAGGCTCCTAAAATATGCGACCTAATGGTGGCGCGACGCGGTTGGAGCGGGAAAATGGGGTGGAGCTGTAAAAAATCTAGTAATATCAGCCGTCGGCCTAAACGACGATAACCATTCCACGTTGCGACTCGAATTCGCGCTTAGATTGCCTACTCTCGAGATCCCGTAGCTCGAAAACCGATATTTCCGTGACTCTCGGAAAGGATTCCAGTGGAGGTATGGTGGCTGAAGAGGAGTTTCGCCCGCCTTGGGATTCTCGAGATTCCCGTGACTCTGGAACCGGCACGCCCTGGGGAATGCTTTTTGGCGCATTATTCGGGTGTTGTCATGCTGCATAGGAGTACGGTGAAGTACGGTATATATGTTGTATGCGGATATTGTTCGGCATATTCTGACTTTTAGAGAGTTCCGGTACGGTTTCGCAAACGCTTGGTATCCAAGCTGCTGTGTAGTGTTGCCCTCAAGGGCGTGGTGATACAGCATTGCCGCATGCCATGCCGCGCAGCGTCTTTGGTGAGATTTGCGGGTTCCGCTCGCCACGTATGTTTATCGGACGGTTGACCAGGGTTCATATGGTGGAAGGATATTGGTTGCAAATCCCGCCGAGTGCACCACCTGCGATCTTGTAGGGACACGTGGTGGGACAGCGGCGGTGGTCCTGTGTTTCTATCTTCGCTAGTGAGTGCTGCGAATCTGGGCGATGCACTCATACGTTCAGTGAAACTGTACAATTTCTAGGCAGCAGAAAATCATGACCCATCCGAGGTCTTGGAAACTTCGCCTCCCTCTGGAATGTTCAGAACTTGAGGCTGTAATCAATCGCTCGTGATATCAGATTCAGTTCCAGCCTGATCATGTGTTTGACCGGGGAACACAAAGAAAAACAGAGAAGATGTTCAGAACTTGAGTCGCGACCGATCCCGAAACACACTACAGTATCTGCAAAATTTGCAATATGAACACGTCCTTCAAGTCTTTCCCAAAGTGTTGCCAAAATGAGGTACCTAAGTTCTAGGTGAATGTGGGTGGGAGTTCTTGATAGTGCAGCTCCCAAGCGTTGCTTCGGCTCCTAGCTCCCAACTCATGTTTTATGAACGTAACACTCGGGCACCACGTTAGGTTATGCTCGAAAGTTGCACTTTCACTCCTTTCTGGCATCTATAGTCAGGAATAAACGAGATATGATATGGAGCATCAGACGCAGCAGAAGAAGAAAGTAGTGCTTCCGACGGTCAACGGCAGCAGCCATCCGCATGTCGTCGGTCCCACTCTCGCGAAATCCCGCGCTGACCTACCCACGGACCTTGAGTCGCGCCTTCAGAAGGCATGGCTCCAATCCCAAATTCCCGATGCGGCTTCGCTTCGACGTCCGCTAGGTATAAGCTCGTTTCTCTTTCCATAGCTTGGCCATTTCCCGTGTTTCTCTCTAAGAGAACGCTAATTTTCTTGGCGTCACCGAACTCCGCTCGTTCCGTGGTCCTTATTCTTATAAATAGCGACGACGCAGCCACAATTTCCCTTTTTACCTCATATACTTGTTTCGTGTTTCAGACTGGAACTTTCTCCATTTTTTTACCTTTTTTCTTCCTTCTCCCCGTGAACCAGCGGGAACACCGACGGCGGCGGATGGAATTTCCCCCTCCACCATCCGCCCGAAGCGGACGCGCTCCCCCGAAAGACCCTCGCGCGGGGAGGGAAACCTCGCGCAGTCCCTGCAGCAGCTCTGGAAACGAACCTACAGCCCCGGCAGTGGCTCGGGAAGCCCGCGGAGTTCCCAAGGTCTGGCTGGTGTCGCAGGTGCGGGAAATTTCGCAGGCCAAGCACGTATTGCAGGGCTTCCAGGCTTAGGCTCGGGAGGAACGCAGCAGCGTGCGGGGTCCAGGCCTACCGGACAAACAGGTTCGGATCCCCGTGCTAGGTTCGGTAACAGGCTCGGCGCGACTGGGAGGAATGCGGGGTCGTCGCCGTCGGAGTCAGTGGGCACTGCCGTGTCTGGCGTACAGGCTCGGAACGAGGCTCGGCAGGGGTCGGGGACGTCAGGCTCACCACCAGGCTCGGCGCCAGGCTCAGCGCAAGGCTTAGCGCCAGGCTTGGAAGAAGTAACATTTGATTCGCTGGTTCAAGAATTGCTGGGTAACAAACCGAATGTGATGGATTCGGGCACCGGATTGGGCCTCGGTGCGGAGGATTCAAGAGGGGTGAGGACAGGTGGGGAAAGGAGAGGGCAGCGGGGGGGAGTTTCGGCAGCTATGAACGTGATTGTTTCAGCGAGTAAAGGAAACGCTACAGGTAGCAGCAGATTGGGAGTTGCTTCAGCAGCAGCAACAGGAGCAGCAGGATTAGCAGCAGCAGCAGGCAAGGTGGAGGGCTCTCACAGGCAAATTCGGAGCAGAGAGAGAGCTAGGAAGACGCCAAGTGACATGGACGGCCAAGGCGATGAAAACGGTAACAACAGTGGTAACGGAAAAGGTAACAGTAACAGTGACGGTAACATTATCGGTAGCCATAGCAGTGACAGTGGTGGGAATGTGAACAGTGTGCCTGGGAGCGGGTCCATGCATCCGCTATTAGCTGACCTGTTAGAAGAAGGTTTGGACGAGCCTGTAGAGCTACAGGTTGACTCGAGTACAGAAATGAACAGTGCGGGAACCAGCAGTGCTGGGATGGGGTTGACTGAGGGAGGCACATCTATGGATGTTTCAACGGATTCCGGTGTAGGCGTGGTTGGGAGTGGTGGCAGCGACCTTGGGATTGCCGAGATGCGTCTGGATGGAGGGTCAGGATGGGCGGATCTGGGTGTAGAGGAGTTTTTGCGCGGTTTAGATGGGTTGGATAACGCGTTTGTAGAGTTGGAAGATATGTTCCCTGTGGCGCTTGCCTCCACTCCTCCCCCTGCTGCTCCTGCTTCCGCTCCTTCTGCTGCTGACGGCGGCGGTGGTGGTGGTGGTGGTGGTGGTGGCGGCGGATATGCTTCCGACGATATGCTGGTGGATGGCATGGGTGGAGCAGCAGCAGGAGCAGGAGTAGCATTAGGAGAGGCCGCAGGAGCAGCAACAGGAGCAGCAGCAGGAGTAGAATCAGGGGCAGGAGATGCGGATATGGTTGCGTTTGTGCAGGAGCTAATGGATCGAGGGAAGGAGATGGGCTACACTAACAGTGAGAACTTAACGGAGGGAGATTCTTATACAGATACGACAGGTTACACCACCACCACTGGAACTGCAACCGTGACTGATAGCCTCGGCCGAGGTCGTTTGGCAACGACCGGTAGTCTCCGAACCTCGAGTTCAGGCTCGGAAGCCACCGCGCCTTGGAGCCCGAAGCTGCTGGAGGAAGGGGAGGGCGGGAGGCAGGCTTGGGCGGGGAAGGTGACTCCGGAAGAGGCTCGGCAGGCTGAGGAAGCTCTCAGGAAGCTTCATGGGGAGTGTACTAAGCGGTGGGAGGAGAGGAAGAGGGCGAGTAGTCAGGGGGAAAGCAAAAAGAAGGGGTGCTGCTGTGTTGGGGCGGATGGGGAAGGGGATGGAGCGGTGTGTACGTGTGCGTGTTGTGACACTGCTACAAGTACTGCTGACGCTGACGGTGCTGTTGCTGCTGCTGCTGGTACAGGTGATGTTGCCAACACTGACCCTGCTGCTAGGGGTATGCAACTAGTAGCAGCGCAGATTGGAACGGCTGATGCTGGAGGTGAGATAGTCTTGAGAGCAGCAGCAGCAGCAGCAGCAGGAGCAGCAGCAGGAGCAGAAGAAGCAGTAGGAGTAGCAGGAGCAGGGGGAGGAGCAGTCGTAGCAGCGGAGGGGCGAGAGGGTCAGCTAGGCACACAGAAAGCAGCATGCTGCGTTGGTCCCGACTCATGGGGAGAATGTGCCAAGAAGGGAGACCCTATCGCCCTCCTCGTTTCCGTCGCAAAAGCCATTGTCTCGGGAGACCAAGCCCGCGTGCATCAGCTGCTGTCAAGCCTCAATGAGGTGGCTTCGGTCTATGGAACGGTTACTCAGAGACTCTCGGCGTATTTTCTCGAAGGGCTGATTGCTAGGGTTGCCGGGGCTCCGCCGAAGCACTCCCCGAACCTGTTTCACAGGTTCGATGCAAGCTCCGGGGTTATGGGGAGGTTTGGCGGGGAGGAACGGGCGGGAGGAGCGGGAAGCAGGGAGGGGGAGGAGGAGTGTAGGGAGGGGAGAGGCGATGGGGCAGGTTTCATTCAAGGGTTTGCAGCTGTAGAAGGGGATTTGAGGGGGGAGTTGCCAGGTGTAGGGGAGACTATGGGAGGTAGGGGAATCGTTGGTGGTGGTGAAGCACTCGGGGAGTTCTCGTCACAGGAAGGAGGGCCGTTTCTAGAGCAAGGAGGGGCGTTTTCAGAGGGAGTACAGCCGTTTGAGCAGAGGCAAGAGGCGGGGGAGTTGACGCCAGGCGAAGCTGCTCTCATTTCCAGTCACGGGAGGGTTTTCATGCCGGGCGAGTCCACTGGCTTGGTGGTTCCTCCTCCTGCCTATAGGAGTGTGCCTGCGCCGGTTTCTCCCCCGAATGTCGACTGCAACCGCACACTGCTGGAGTCATTTCAGGTAAGCAGCACCTGTTTATTTTGCCGGGGGGCGTTTTCAGAGGGAGGGCGGCCGTTTGAGCAGAGGCAAGAAGCGGGGGAGTTGATGCCAGGCGAAGCTGCTCTGATTTCCAGTCACGGGAGGGTTTTCATGCCAGGGGAAGCCACTGGATTGGTGGTTCCTCTGGCCTATAGGAGCGTACCTGCACCAGTTTCTCCCCCCAATGTCGACTGCAACCGAACACTGCTGGAATCCTTTCAGGTATGTATTGTTATTATTATTATTATTCAGGATCTGTGTTGACTTTTGAGTCAACTCAAAAGTCATATGCGGTATATATGTGTTATTATTCAGCCACTGTCATTCGGTGCCTGTACTGCTGAATGCAACGCCCTTTCTCACCTTCGGCCAGGTAGCAGCCAACAGCACCATTCTCGAAGCCCTAGCAGATGAACGAACCCCGGGTCCACATCATAGACTTTGGTATCAGCCACGCCCTGCAGTGACCCCCTGCCATCTCCTGTCTATCATCCCCTCTCTGCCATCCCCGTGCCATCAGATGCTCGTGAATGCGACACCCTTTCTGACTTTCGGCCAGGTAGCAGCCAACAGCGCCATTCTGGAAGCTCTAGGGGACGAGCCCCGCGTCCACATCATAGACTTTGGCATCGGCCACGCGCTGCAGTAATTTCAGCCCTCTTGCCCACTCCCACCCCCACCCCCTCGAAACTCCCAACAGGCGCTGGTAAACGCCAAGTCCTTCCTGACTTTCGGCCATGTAGCAGCCAACAGCGCCCATGCTGGAAGCTCTAGCGGACGAGCCTCGAGTGCACATCATCGACTTTGGCATCGGCCACGCTCTCCAGTGATCCCTTGTTGACCCTCACCGCTTCCCACCGCTCCCTCTGCTCCCCATACCCCTGTACCATCAGGTACTGGTGAACGCAACGCCCTTCCTCACCTTCGGCCAGGTAGCAGCCAACAGCGCCATACTCGAAGCTCTAGCGGACGAGCCTCGAGTGCACATCATCGACTTCGGCATCGGCCACGCCCTGCAGTGGCCGGCTCTCCTGCAGGCGCTGGGTGCGAGACCAGGAGGGCCTCCCCACGTGCGCGTGACGGGCATCGAGGTGCCTCAGTGCGGGGCTATGTCACCCTACTGTGCCATGAAGGCAGGGAAGCGACTGGAGGTGAGTCCCTTGGCTGTCACACGGCACACACACATTGGTTGGGTGCCACGGGGATAGAGGTGCCTCAGTGCGGAGCCATGTCGCCCTACTGTGCCATGAAGGCAGGGAAGCGACTGGAGGTGAGTCCCTTGGCTGTCACACGGCACACACACATTGGTTGGGTGCCACGGGGATAGAGGTGCCTCAGTGCGGAGCCATGTCACCCTACTGTGCCATGAAGGCAGGGAAGCGACTGGAGGTGAGTCCCTTGGCTGTCACACGGCACACACACATTGGTTGGGTGCCACGGGGATAGAGGTGCCTCAGTGCGGAGCCATGTCTCCCTACTGTGCCATGAAGGCAGGGAAGCGACTGGAGGTGAGTCCCTTGGCTGTCACACGGCACACACACATTGGTTGGGTGCCACGGGGATAGAGGTGCCTCAGTGCGGAGCCATGTCTCCCTACTGTGCCATGAAGGCAGGGAAGCGACTGGAGGTGAGTCCCTTGGCTGTCACACGGCACACACACATTGGTTGGGTGCCACGGGGATAGAGGTGCCTCAGTGCGGAGCCATGTCTCCCTACTGTGCCATGAAGGCAGGGAAGCGACTGGAGGTGAGTCCCTTGGCTGTCACACGGCACACACACATTGGTTGGGTGCCACGGGGATAGAGGTGTGCCTCAGTGCGGAGCCATGTCTCCCTACTGTGCCATGAAGGCAGGGAAAAGACTGGAGGTGAGTCCCTTGGCTGTCACACGGCACACACACATTGGTTGGGTGCCACGGGGATAGAGGTGACTCAGTGCGGAGCCATGTCACCCTACTGTGCCATGAAGGCAGGGAAGCGACTGGAGGTGAGTCCCTTGGCTGTCACATGGCACACACACATTGGTTGGGTGCCACGGGGATAGAGGTGCCTCAGTGCGGAGCCATGTCACCCTACTGTGCCATGAAGGCAGGGAAGCGACTGGAGGTGAGTCCCTTGGCTGTCACATGGCACACACACATTGGTTGGGTGCCACGGGGATAGAGGTGCCTCAGTGCGGAGCCATGTCACCCTACTGTGCCATGAAGGCAGGGAAGCGACTGGAGGTGAGTCCCTTGGCTGTCACACGGCACACACACATTGGTTGGGTGCCACGGGGATAGAGGTGCCTCAGTGCGGAGCCATGTCACCCTACTGTGCCATGAAGGCAGGGAAGCGACTGGAGGTGAGTCCCTTGGGGCGTGGAGGTGAGAAGGAAGAGAGTGAAGATGATTGACTGCTGGAGAGTGCTTTTGAGTCGACTCAAACGGAGGTGAGAAGGAAGAGAGTGAAGATGATTGACTGCTGGAGAGTGCTTTTGAGTCGACTCAAACGGAGGTGAGAAGGAAGAGAGTGAAGATGATTGACTGCTGGAGAGTGCTTTTGAGTCGACTCAAACGGAGGTGAGAAGGAAGAGAGTGAAGATGATTGACTGCTGGAGAGTGCTTTTGAGTCGACTCAAACGGAGGTGAGAAGGAAGAGAGTGAAGATGATTGACTGCTGGAGAGTGCTTTTGAGTCGACTCAAACGGAGGTGAGAAGGAAGAGAGTGAAGATGATTGACTGCTGGAGAGTGCTTTTGAGTCGACTCAAACGGAGGTGAGAAGGAAGAGAGTGAAGATGATTGACTGCTGGAGAGTGCTTTTGAGTCGACTCAAACGGAGGTGAGAAGGAAGAGAGTGAAGATGATTGACTGCTGGAGAGTGCTTTTGAGTCGACTCAAACGGAGGTGAGAAGGAAGAGAGTGAAGATGATTGACTGCTGGAGAGTGCTTTTGAGTCGACTCAAACGGAGGTGAGAAGGAAGAGAGTGAAGATGATTGACTGCTGGAGAGTGCTTTTGAGTCGACTCAAACGGAGGTGAGAAGGAAGAGAGTGAAGATGATTGACTGCTGGAGAGTGCTTTTGAGTCGACTCAAACGGAGGTGAGAAGGAAGAGAGTGAAGATGATTGACTGCTGGAGAGTAAGTGCAGAGGTGTGCGAGCTGAGCACATTCAATGTTAGAATTGAACCGTTGAGTTGATTAGGAATCAAGAGGGCTTACATAGTTGAAGCTAGGGAAGTTGAGTTGGTTGGGTACCTAGCCAACATTATTGGCCCCCCACCAATAAGTTGGGTTGGAGAATTATTAGGGGGTCCCAATAATGTTGGCCTAAGTGAGCCAACATGATTGGGGGCAACCCAACCTTGGGGTCCAATAATTGGACCAAGGTTGGGTTCCAACCCCCAACTAGGGTTAACCCTAGTTTGTGCACCCAAACATAGTTTGGGTGCTTATCTCTATCCTAGGGTTTAAAGGATCAATGCAGGATACAAAAGAGTAGTATAATCTAACATTCAACACACTGCAACCCGCCTTTTGAGACGTCTCAAACGCCACCCATCTCGTCCTCCATTCCATACCCTGCTGCTTCTTTTCGAGACGTCTCAAAAATTCACTATATACACGTGGCACCCCCCCTCCGCCCCCACTCTTTACCATGCAGCAGCAGCCATGGGGGGTGTGCCCCTGCAGTACCACTGGGTGATGTCTCGCCTGGAGGACGTCACTCCAGCCACGCTCAACCTGCACCCAGGGGAGCCCACTTTTTTTTCCAACCCCTTTTTCCTCTCCTTGTTTCTTGCTTTCCCCTTCACCACACCAGTCAGCAGCAGCCATGGGGGGTGTGCCCCTGCAGTACCACTGGGTGATGTCTCGCCTGGAGGACGTCACCCCCTCAATGCTCAACCTGCACCCAGGGGAAGCCATTGCAGCCAACTGCGCCCTGCGCCTCTCCCAACTGCTCGACGAATCAGAACAGCCCAACGCAGCTGCCAACCCTGCCTCCGCAGCTAGCACGGTCTTTGCCAAGCCTGTCTCCGCACCTGGTTCCGAGCCTGGTTTCGAAGCAGCGGGAGCAGCAGTCGGTGCGGATGTGGACAGGAGGGCGGACGTGGACGGGGCATATCTAGACAAGTCGTATCTGGACGGCTCAGATCCAAACAGATCGTACCTGGACGGCTCAGATCCAGACAGGTCGTATCTGGCGAAGGCAGATTCGGACGAATCCCCACGCATGAGAGTGCTGCGAACGATCCGGATGCTGAGGCCTAAGGTGGTGACGGTGGTGGAGCAATACAGCAACCACTCCTCGCCCTTCTTCCTCGCGCGGTTCTATGAAGCTCTCTACTACTATGCCGCGTTATTCGAGTCGATTGACGCGTCGCTGCCCAGGAACGAAGTAGCACGAAGAGTGTTTGAAGAACAGGTGCGTGTGTTGAACAGGTGCGTGTGTTGAACAGGTGCGTGTGTTGAACAGGTGCGTGTGTTGAACAGGTGCGTGTGTTGAACAGGTGCGTGTGTTGAACAGGTGCGTGTGTTGAACAGGTGCGTGTGTTGAACAGGTGCGTGTGTTGAACAGGTGCGTGTGTTGAACAGGTGCGTGTGTTGAACAGGTGCGTGTGTTGAACAGGTGCGTGTGTTGAACAGGTGCGTGTGTTGAACAGGTGCGTGTGTTGAACAGGTGCGTGTGTTGAACAGGTGCGTGTGTTGAACAGGTGCGTGTGTTGAACAGGTGCGTGTGTTGAACAGGTGCGTGTGTTGAACAGGTGCGTGTGTTGAACAGGTGCGTGTGTTGAACAGGTGCGTGTGTTGAACAGGTGCGTGTGTTGAACAGGTGCGTGTGTTGAACAGGTGCGTGTGTTGAACAGGTGCGTGTGTTGAACAGGTGCGTGTGTTGAACAGGTGCGTGTGTTGAACAGGTGCGTGTGTTGAACAGGTGCGTGTGTTGAACAGGTGCGTGTGTTGAACAGGTGCGTGTGTTGAACAGGTGCGTGTGTTGAACAGGTGCGTGTGTTGAACAGGTGCGTGTGTTGAACAGGTGCGTGTGTTGAACAGGTGCGTGTGTTGAACAGGTGCGTGTGTTGAACAGGTGCGTGTGTTGAACAGGTGCGTGTGTTGAACAGGTGCGTGTGTTGAACAGGTGCGTGTGTTGAACAGGTGCGTGTGTTGAACAGGTGCGTGTGTTGAACAGGTGCGTGTGTTGAACAGGTGCGTGTGTTGAACAGGTGCGTGTGTTGAACAGGTGCGTGTGTTGAACAGGTGCGTGTGTTGAACAGGTGCGTGTGTTGAACAGGTGCGTGTGTTGAACAGGTGCGTGTGTTGAACAGGTGCGTGTGTTGAACAGGTGCGTGTGTTGAACAGGTGCGTGTGTTGAACAGGTGCGTGTGTTGAACAGGTGCGTGTGTTGAACAGGTGCGTGTGTTGAACAGGTGCGTGTGTTGAACAGGTGCGTGTGTTGAACAGGTGCGTGTGTTGAACAGGTGCGTGTGTTGAACAGGTGCGTGTGTTGAACAGGTGCGTGTGTTGAACAGGTGCGTGTGTTGAACAGGTGCGTGTGTTGAACAGGTGCGTGTGTTGAACAGGTGCGTGTGTTGAACAGGTGCGTGTGTTGAACAGGTGCGTGTGTTGAACAGGTGCGTGTGTTGAACAGGTGCGTGTGTTGAACAGGTGCGTGTGTTGAACAGGTGCGTGTGTTGAACAGGTGCGTGTGTTGAACAGGTGCGTGTGTTGAACAGGTGCGTGTGTTGAACAGGTGCGTGTGTTGAACAGGTGCGTGTGTTGAACAGGTGCGTGTGTTGAACAGGTGCGTGTGTTGAACAGGTGCGTGTGTTGAACAGGTGCGTGTGTTGAACAGGTGCGTGTGTTGAACAGGTGCGTGTGTTGAACAGGTGCGTGTGTTGAACAGGTGCGTGTGTTGAACAGGTGCGTGTGTTGAACAGGTGCGTGTGTTGAACAGGTGCGTGTGTTGAACAGGTGCGTGTGTTGAACAGGTGCGTGTGTTGAACAGGTGCGTGTGTTGAACAGGTGCGTGTGTTGAACAGGTGCGTGTGTTGAACAGGTGCGTGTGTTGAACAGGTGCGTGTGTTGAACAGGTGCGTGTGTTGAACAGGTGCGTGTGTTGAACAGGTGCGTGTGTTGAACAGGTGCGTGTGTTGAACAGGTGCGTGTGTTGAACAGGTGCGTGTGTTGAACAGGTGCGTGTGTTGAACAGGTGCGTGTGTTGAACAGGTGCGTGTGTTGAACAGGTGCGTGTGTTGAACAGGTGCGTGTGTTGAACAGGTGCGTGTGTTGAACGAAGTAGCACGAACAGCACGAACAGGTGAGTGACTTTTGAACAGGTGCGTGCTGCCTGCGAGGTGACTTTTGAACAGGTGCGTGCTGCCTGCGAGGTGACTTTTGAACAGGTGCGTGCTGCCTGCGAGGTGACTTTTGAACAGGTGCGTGCTGCGTGCGAGGTGACTTTTGAACAGGTGCGTGCTGCCTGCGAGGTGACTTTTGAACAGGTGCGTGCTGCCTGCGAGGTGACTTTTGAACAGGTGCGTGCTGCCTGCGAGGTGACTTTTGAACAGGTGCGTGCTGCCTGCGAGGTGACTTTTGAACAGGTGCGTGCTGCCTGCGAGGTGACTTTTGAACAGGTGCGTGCTGCCTGCGAGGTGACTTTTGAACAGGTGCGTGCTGCCTGCGAGGTGACTTTTGAACAGGTGAGTGCTGCCTGCGTGCGAGGTGACTTTTGAACAGGTGCGTGCTGCCTGCGTGCGAGGTGACTTTTGAACAGGTGCGTGCTGCCTGCGAGGTGACTTTTGAACAGGTGCGTGCTGCGTGCGAGGTGACTTTTGAACAGGTGCGTGCTGCGTGCGAGGTGACTTTTCAACAGGTGCGTGCTGCCTGCGTGCGAGGTGACTTTTGAACAGGTGCGTGCTGCCTGCGTGCGAGGTGACTTTTGAACAGGTGCGTGCTGCCTGCGTGCGAGGTGACTTTTGAACAGGTGCGTGCTGCCTGCGAGGTGACTTTTGAACAGGTGCGTGCTGCCTGCGAGGTGACTTTTGAACAGGTGCGTGCTGCCTGCGAGGTGACTTTTGAACAGGTGCGTGCTGCCTGCGAGGTGACTTTTGAACAGGTGCGTGCTGCCTGCGAGGTGACTTTTGAACAGGTGCGTGCTGCCTGCGAGGTGACTTTTGAACAGGTGCGTGCTGCCTGCGAGGTGACTTTTGAACAGGTGCGTGCTGCCTGCGTGCGAGGTGACTTTTGAACAGGTGCGTGCTGCCTGCGTGCGAGGTGACTTTTGAACAGGTGCGTGCTGCCTGCGTGCGAGGTGACTTTTGAACAGGTGCGTGCTGCCTGCGTGCGAGGTGACTTTTGAACAGGTGCGTGCTGCCTGCGAGGTGACTTTTGAACAGGTGCGTGCTGCGTGCGAGGTGACTTTTGAACAGGTGCGTGCTGCCTGCGTGCGAGGTGACTTTTGAACAGGTGCGTGCTGCCTGCGAGGTGACTTTTGAACAGGTGCGTGCTGCCTGCGAGGTGACTTTTGAACAGGTGCGTGCTGCCTGCGAGGTGACTTTTGAACAGGTGCGTGCTGCCTGCGAGGTGACTTTTGAACAGGTGCGTGCTGCCTGCGTGCGAGGTGACTTTTGAACAGGTGCGTGCTGCCTGCGAGGTGACTTTTGAACAGGTGCGTGCTGCCTGCGAGGTGACTTTTGAACAGGTGCGTGCTGCCTGCGAGGTGACTTTTGAACAGGTGCGTGCTGCCTGCGAGGTGACTTTTGAACAGGTGCGTGCTGCCTGCGAGGTGACTTTTGAACAGGTGCGTGCTGCCTGCGTGCGAGGTGACTTTTGAACAGGTGCGTGCTGCCTGCGTGCGAGGTGACTTTTGAACAGGTGCGTGCTGCCTGCGAGGTGACTTTTGAACAGGTGCGTGCTGCGTGCGAGGTGACTTTTCAACAGGTGCGTGCTGCCTGCGTGCGAGGTGACTTTTGAACAGGTGCGTGCTGCCTGCGTGCGAGGTGACTTTTGAACAGGTGCGTGCTGCCTGCGAGGTGACTTTTGAACAGGTGCGTGCTGCCTGCGAGGTGACTTTTGAACAGGTGCGTGCTGCCTGCGAGGTGACTTTTGAACAGGTGCGTGCTGCCTGCGAGGTGACTTTTGAACAGGTGCGTGCTGCCTGCGAGGTGACTTTTGAACAGGTGCGTGCTGCCTGCGAGGTGACTTTTGAACAGGTGCGTGCTGCCTGCGAGGTGACTTTTGAACAGGTGCGTGCTGCCTGCGTGCGAGGTGACTTTTGAACAGGTGCGTGCTGCCTGCGTGCGAGGTGACTTTTGAACAGGTGCGTGCTGCCTGCGTGCGAGGTGACTTTTGAACAGGTGCGTGCTGCCTGCGTGCGAGGTGACTTTTGAACAGGTGCGTGCTGCCTGCGAGGTGACTTTTGAACAGGTGCGTGCTGCCTGCGTGCGAGGTGACTTTTGAACAGGTGCGTGCTGCCTGCGAGGTGACTTTTGAACAGGTGCGTGCTGCCTGCGAGGTGACTTTTGAACAGGTGCGTGCTGCCTGCGAGGTGACTTTTGAACAGGTGCGTGCTGCCTGCGAGGTGACTTTTGAACAGGTGCGTGCTGCCTGCGAGGTGACTTTTGAACAGGTGCGTGCTGCCTGCGAGGTGACTTTTGAACAGGTGCGTGCTGCCTGCGAGGTGACTTTTGAACAGGTGCGTGCTGCCTGCGAGGTGACTTTTGAACAGGTGCGTGCTGCCTGCGAGGTGACTTTTGAACAGGTGCGTGCTGCCTGCGAGGTGACTTTTGAACAGGTGCGTGCTGCCTGCGAGGTGACTTTTGAACAGGTGCGTGCTGCCTGCGTGCGAGGTGACTTTTGAACAGGTGCGTGCTGCCTGCGAGGTGACTTTTGAACAGGTGCGTGCTGCCTGCGAGGTGACTTTTGAACAGGTGCGTGCTGCCTGCGAGGTGACTTTTGAACAGGTGCGTGCTGCCTGCGAGGTGACTTTTGAACAGGTGCGTGCTGCCTGCGAGGTGACTTTTGAACAGGTGCGTGCTGCCTGCGTGCGAGGTGACTTTTGAACAGGTGCGTGCTGCCTGCGAGGTGACTTTTGAACAGGTGCGTGCTGCCTGCGAGGTGACTTTTGAACAGGTGCGTGCTGCCTGCGAGGTGACTTTTGAACAGGTGCGTGCTGCCTGCGAGGTGACTTTTGAACAGGTGCGTGCTGCCTGCGAGGTGACTTTTGAACAGGTGCGTGCTGCCTGCGAGGTGACTTTTGAACAGGTGCGTGCTGCCTGCGAGGTGACTTTTGAACAGGTGCGTGCTGCCTGCGAGGTGACTTTTGAACAGGTGCGTGCTGCCTGCGAGGTGACTTTTGAACAGGTGCGTGCTGCCTGCGAGGTGACTTTTGAACAGGTGCGTGCTGCCTGCGAGGTGACTTTTGAACAGGTGCGTGCTGCCTGCGAGGTGACTTTTGAACAGGTGCGTGCTGCCTGCGAGGTGACTTTTGAACAGGTGCGTGCTGCCTGCGTGCGAGGTGACTTTTGAACAGGTGCGTGCTGCCTGCGTGCGAGGTGACTTTTGAACAGGTGCGTGCTGCCTGCGTGCGAGGTGACTTTTGAACAGGTGCGTGCTGCCTGCGTGCGAGGTGACTTTTGAACAGGTGCGTGCTGCCTGCGTGCGAGGTGACTTTTGAACAGGTGCGTGCTGCCTGCGAGGTGACTTTTGAACAGGTGCGTGCTGCCTGCGAGGTGACTTTTGAACAGGTGCGTGCTGCCTGCGTGCGAGGTGACTTTTGAACAGGTGCGTGCTGCCTGCGTGCGAGGTGACTTTTGAACAGGTGCGTGCTGCCTGCGTGCGAGGTGACTTTTGAACAGGTGCGTGCTGCCTGCGTGCGAGGTGACTTTTGAACAGGTGCGTGCTGCCTGCGTGCGAGGTGACTTTTGAACAGGTGCGTGCTGCCTGCGTGCGAGGTGACTTTTGAACAGGTGCGTGCTGCCTGCGTGCGAGGTGACTTTTGAACAGGTGCGTGCTGCCTGCGAGGTGACTTTTGAACAGGTGCGTGCTGCCTGCGTGCGAGGTGACTTTTGAACAGGTGCGTGCTGCCTGCGAGGTGACTTTTGAACAGGTGCGTGCTGCCTGCGAGGTGACTTTTGAACAGGTGCGTGCTGCCTGCGAGGTGACTTTTGAACAGGTGCGTGCTGCCTGCGAGGTGACTTTTGAACAGGTGCGTGCTGCCTGCGAGGTGACTTTTGAACAGGTGTGTGCTGCCTGCGAGGTGACTTTTGAACAGGTGCGTGCTGCCTGCGAGGTGACTTTTGAACAGGTGCGTGCTGCCTGCGAGGTGACTTTTGAACAGGTGCGTGCTGCCTGCGTGCGAGGTGACTTTTGAACAGGTGCGTGCTGCCTGCGAGGTGACTTTTGAACAGGTGCGTGCTGCCTGCGAGGTGACTTTTGAACAGGTGCGTGCTGCCTGCGAGGTGACTTTTGAACAGGTGCGTGCTGCCTGCGAGGTGACTTTTGAACAGGTGCGTGCTGCCTGCGAGGTGACTTTTGAACAGGTGCGTGCTGCCTGCGTGCGAGGTGACTTTTGAACAGGTGCGTGCTGCCTGCGAGGTGACTTTTGAACAGGTGCGTGCTGCCTGCGAGGTGACTTTTGAACAGGTGCGTGCTGCCTGCGAGGTGACTTTTGAACAGGTGCGTGCTGCCTGCGAGGTGACTTTTGAACAGGTGCGTGCTGCCTGCGAGGTGACTTTTGAACAGGTGCGTGCTGCCTGCGAGGTGACTTTTGAACAGGTGCGTGCTGCCTGCGAGGTGACTTTTGAACAGGTGCGTGCTGCCTGCGAGGTGACTTTTGAACAGGTGCGTGCTGCCTGCGAGGTGACTTTTGAACAGGTGCGTGCTGCCTGCGTGCGTGTGTATGTGGTTGAAGAAGTGTTTTGAGACGTCTCAAAACACTTCTTCAAACAGAGTGTTCGAAGAACAGGTGCGTGCTGCCTGCGTGCGTGTGTATGTGGCCGCCTTGCTCGCTTGCTGCGCCCCAAGGTGGTGACAGTGGTGGAGCAGTACAGCAACCACTCCTCGGTCTTCTTCCTTGCGAGACTGTACGGGGCTCTCTACTATTATGCCGCACTGTTTGAGTCCATTGACGCATCGCTTCCAAGAAACGAGGTCGCCAGACGAGTGTTCGAAGAGCAGGTGGGTCTCGAATGTTGCTCTTTCTGTATGTCCGTCTGTTTGTCCATGTGTGCTGCGAACGATCCAGATGCTGAGGCCCAAGGTGGTGACGGTGGAGGAGCAGTACAGCAACCTCTCCTCGCCCTTCTTCCTCGCCCTTCTTCCTCGCCCTTCTTCCTCGCCCTTCTTCCTCGCCCTTCTTCCTTGCGCAACTCTATCCGCAATTTGTCAGCCCGCCCGTCCGTGTGTCCATCTGTCCGTCCGTCCGTCTGTCTGTCTGTCCCTCTGTCTGTGTTTGCTGGTCGTCCAGATTTCATCCTTTTTGCTAGTTCTGTTGTTGCTACTGCTCCTCCGACATTGCTGTTTCCCTTGCGTCTTCCTCCCTCCCGCAACCTCAGGTACTAGGCCGAGCGATTGTGAATCTGGTAGCATGTGAAGGGCAGGAGAGGGTGGAGAGGCAGGAGCCACTGGACCAGTGGCAGCAGAGGATGCTGAGGGCGGGGTTCAAGCCTAGAGGACTGAGTGAAGGAGTGGTTACCACCCTGCATGCCCTGTTACAAACGTGAGTGTGGTTACCACCTGGCTTGTGAGTGATATGAAACGTAGGAGCCGTTGGAGCAGTGGCAGCAGAGGATGCTCAGAGTGGGTTTCAAGCCTCGTGGGCTGAGCCAAGGGGTGGTTACCACCCTGCACGCACTGTTACAAACGTGAGTGTGGTGGTAGGGTTGTGAGGTAAGTGTGGTTAACCTTCTGTATGTGAGAGACATGGAGAGACAGGAGCTGTTGGAGCAGTGGCAGCAGAGCATGCTCAGGGCGGATTTCAAGCCTCGTGGACTGAGTGAGGGCGTGGTTACCACCCTGCACGCACCGTTACAAACGTTGTCTGGTTACTATTCTGTATGTGAGAGACAGGAAAAGGTAAGAGCGTTTGGAGACAGTGGCAGCAGGGGATCCAATCCGCTTGGCGGGGTTCCAAACCACCCAGGCCATGTTGTGTCTACCTTGCTGTGTAGACCGTGGCTTTCCGACTTGATAATCACACCCTCATCCTGTTGCAGGGATTTTTTTAGAATTCTCAAAAGCGATTTCAAGCGCTGTCTTTCTGTGTAGACCACAATGTGTCGGCTAAAGAATCACATCCTTATCCTTCTCTGATTGGGTCTTTTGTGTGATTTGATTTATGTGTGGCATGGGTTTGCTGAGGTGGCATGATGACACATGGCATGGCGTGACGACACGTGGCATGGCATGATGGCACGTGGCATGACATGATGGCACGTGGCATGGCGTGACGACACGTGGCATGGCATGATGGCACGTGGCTTGGCGTGATGACACGTGGCAGGTACAACAAGGTGGGGCATGATGTGCGGAGAGTGGACGAAGCGAGCGTGGTGCTGACGTGGAAGGGCAACCCGCTATTGGCTATGATGGCATGGGAACCGCAGGAATGACGGGATGGGAGGATGGCACGTGGTAACCAGAGGAAGGGTGACAGCTGGTAACCAGATGCGAGTAGACTTCTGAGTTGACTCAATAGTCACATGGAAGGGCAACCCGCTATTGGCCATGATGGCATGGGAACCACAGGAATGATGGGATGGGGGGATGACACGTGGAAACCACAGGAAGGGTGACTGATGGTAACCAGATGCAGGTATGGCATGGTTACTGCAGATCTGGAGAAGTGATGCTCGCATCTGGTTATGGCATTTTGTGGGATGGGTGTGACAGGGATAGTGGGTGGACCGTGTACGGTCATCTGGTAACCAGAGATAAAGTGGCATGGCATGGGAAGCATACAGGTAGTGCTGTGATGGGATGGCACATGGTATCCAGATGAAGCATGGTGTGGTTACCACAGGGCTGGAGAACTGGTTCGGGAAGTTCAGGGATAGTGGGTAGTTGGAAGAAAACCTGGTAACCAGACACAGGGTTCGTGTGGTTACTGCATTCAGGGTGTAGAGCAAACCACAATAATACTGCAGGGTTGGTTGCTTTGTAATTATACTAGCATAAATACTTTGTCCTGTATATGAGTGACTTGCTGCAAGCAGCAGCTTTTGAACATCATCATGTTTTGCTTGGTGAACTAGTGACTATTTTAATTGTGGTGGTAACCAGCGCAATGTCTCTCTCCATTACCTTCATCCAATTCTCGAAGTCTCCTATTTCCTGCATGAAAATGAAGGAAGCACCACCACAGTATAACTTAGTGTTCACATTGCGAAATGAATCCAATCCAATGGGGAGAGGAAGGAGGGGGGCAGAAAAGGGGGGAGGGAGCGAGGGGAGGAGGACAAGGTGTGTGAGTCGTCTGAAAAATCATAACGTTCCATGTGCAAGCACGTGTCTCAGAACGCCGCCCACTACCCAATCAAACAGCTCCATGCTTAAACATGCCGTTTTCTACACTGTCTGGAATGTACCATTGAAGATTTTCATGAGCAGGAATCAAGGTTAGCAGCTGGAACCGATGATTGTTGAATGCTGTGGACCATTTCTGGCACCGCTCCTGAAACCGCCCCACCTCAGATCAGATACCTACCTTCCCCAGATCAGACCTTACCCTGATGAATTGCTTTCATTTCTCACCTTGATTGCAGTGTGAAGCTCATTGAATGCTGTGGCCCACTTTCTGTGCTGCTCCTGGAACCGCGCCACCTCAGATACCACCTCCCCCAGCTCCGCCTGCACTGCTCCCTCCTGCCTAACCGCCTCCCGCACACCCGAGGCCTCGCTAAGTGTTTCTCTTAGAGCCGCTGCCAGTGGCTCTGCTGCCGCCAGTGACGCCAATCTCGCCTGAACTGAGTGTAAGAGATAATTTGCAGAAAAAGAAAGAAGAAAAAAAAATCAGGGAGGAAAGAGTGGGCTTTAACGTTTAAGAGTATAAGACTGCCACCACAAATATAAGACTGCCTCTGAGCTCTGCCTAACAGCCTCCTTCACACCCGACGTCTTGCTAAGTGTTTCACTTAGCGCTACTGGCAAAGGCTCGGCTATTGCCAGTGACGCCAGACTTGCCTGGGTTGCAAGAAAATGGGGGTGGGAGGGAAAGGAGAGAATGAGATAAGGGATAAGGGAAAGGGGGGGTTGTTGAGGGGGAAGCGGGGGAAGAGGGGGGGGTTGGGGAAACGTAGGCATTCTAAACTGGCTACTTTAGCTAGGAGTTCAGGGTTGGGATGATACGAAGCGCAGCGGCGGCGAAAAAATCCTCTCACCTAATCGCTCCTGTGTGATCCCCTCCTCCGCGTTTTCCGGCGGGCCCTTTCTGTCGTTTCGCGTCTGGTACATTCTTGCTAACCGAACCCTGCCACTGACGCGGCTTAGGAGCAGGATGCGTGGGATGCGATATATTCAGCAACGGATATCCAGCAACGAACTATTTAGGAGGTATGTACGAATGCTAAGTTGATTCATACATTGATTCGTTGACTTCGTCACTGTTGACCTAAGCTACTTCATTCTCGTGCCGAGGCGCGAATTAGGGGCTCTTGCCAACAGTCAAACAAAGTAAACGCGATGGACGCCTGCGAACATTACAACGAAAAGTTAGTTCCTGGAGCAATGCATTCCCATGCAATTGTTTATGAAGTACACTTGAAATAACCATCACGATATCACAATAACTGGAAGTTACAGTCCAGTGACCTGCTTGTGGGAATCACAGCACGTGGCAAAAACATTCTTACACTAATGGAGCATTTCCTCCTCTCCTGTGGGCATCCACGCACAGGGCTTTAACTAGCGCCACTGTACTTAGGACTTACCTGCTCAGACTGTGTTGAACCTTATAGCTCTGACTTTAGGGCATTGTATTCAGAATATACGTACTACATGCCACTCAAACCGACTTCTATCAGGGGCTGATGACGGTGCAGCACGTTTCACGAAGATTTGTTGTGGTGCAATACGGTGGCGGTTCCAACAGGCCCGTTCAAACGCCCAGTGTATGTACTACCACCCCACAGCTTCTCTAGGATGCTGCAGTGTAGAAATAAACCGACTGGATGCCAAGCAGCATTTCAAATCCCCGCTCTGCAACAGGACAATAAATTATCAAGGATTTAAAAGATGTTAATTAAACCTTTTACAACCAAAATCGAATGAACAAACTAAGTACTACAGTGTAACAAGTTGCAAAAGAGCATGCCGACAAATGAGGTTAGAAAAACGAACCTGCGAGGGAGCCGAGAAGAGGAATCGGGCGAACGAACGATCGAATGCCCTCGAGAGGATGCCTGCAAGCATGGAAAGAAGGGGTACGCAAGGCAGCAGAACCCGCATTGAGTAAACTTATAAGGGAGCAGAGTAGAGGGATTGGCCGAACAACAACAGACTCAATACGAACAGAGCCAACTAACAGGGTTACCTTGTAACAGCATCGAAGCAAGGGGTGTGCAGGAGGTACATAACTAGCAGCATGCGCCTACATGTGATGAGTCTATGTCTGAGGCGCCTCAACCATAGACCAAGCCCACAGAGGACCACGTGATTGGTTACCTTGTGACGGCATCGAAGCACGGCGAGCGCAGGAGGTACATGACTAGCAGCATGCGCCGCCGAGCAAGCTGTGGCAGCGAGTGAGAAAGGGGGGATTGGCAGGGGGGGAGAAAGCAAGAGGGAGCGTAGGTCAGCTTTTGAGTCGACTCGAAAGCGAGCGGAGGAGGTACATGACTAGCAGCATTCGCCGCCGAGCAAGCTGTGGCAGCAAGAACACGAGGTTGGCATGGAGGGAAAAAGCGAGAAGAAAGAATAGGTCACATGCGACGAAAATGCGAAAAAGGTTGCAAAAATAAGGATTTATCATTGTGGGTCACCAAGGCATTCAGAAACGAGGTACAAGCGCGCACACACACATACACACAGTTTTTGAACAGTGGTTTTTGAACAGTGGTTTCAAAAAAAAACTTGTACTCACATCGGCTCGCTCCTCATCAGTTAGCTGAAACACCTCCTTTTGTGCCGCGCTTCCCTCCGTCCTTCTGGCATCAGCAGCTGTAGCAGCAGCAGCAGCAGCAGCAGCAGCAGCAGGCTGAGACGGATCAGCATCAGCAGCAGCAGCAGCAGCAGCAGCAGCAGGCTGAGACGGATCAGCATCAGCAGCGGAAGCACCAGCAGCAGAAGCAGCGGAAGTGGACGCAGCTTGAGAGGCGAGGCGATGGAGAAGCAGAGAGGCGGCATCGAGGGAGAGGGAGAGCAGCCAGGGGTTCCAGCGCACCCACCACCACCACCACCTCCTGCCCGGCTGGCCTGGTAGTGGTTTCCGTGCTACTGCGCCTGGAATGAACACACAGGGAGATACCCGGGGAAGAGGATGGGGACAGAGCGATCAGCAGCAGCAGCACTGGCGGTGGCAGCATGGGCAGCAGTGGCAGCTTGAGAGGAGAGGCGATGGAGGAGCAGAGAGGCAGCATCGAGGGAGAGGGAGAGCAGCCAGGGGTTCCAGCGCACCCACCACCACCACCACCTCCTGCCCGGCTGTCCTGGTAGTGGCTTGAGTGTTGCTGTGCCTGGGATGAACACAGAGGGATATACCCAGGGAAGAAGAGGAAGGGGACAGAGCGATCAGCAGCAGCAGCATTGGCGGTGGCAGCACGGGCAGCAGTGGCAGCACGGGCAGCAGTGGCAGCACGGGCAGCACGGGCAGCACGGGCAGCAGTGGCAGCTTGAGAGGCGAAGCGATGGAGGAGCAGGGAGGCAGCGTCGAGGGAGAGGGAGAGCAGCCAGGGGTGCCAGCGCACCCACCACCACCACCACCTCCTGCCCGGCTGGCCTGGGAGAGGTTTGACAGCAGCACTGCCTGGAACGAAGAGAGGGAAGAAAGAGAAGACGTGAGAGAGAGGGAGAGAGAGGGAGAGCAGCCAGGGGTGCCATCGCACCCACCACCACCACCACCTCCTGCCCGGCTGGCCTGGTAGTGGCTTGAGGGTTGCTGTGCCTGGGATAAAGAGAGAAATACAAGGTAGCAATGGTGGATAAGAGAAAGAGGGAGAGGGAGAGCAGCCAGGGGTGCCATCGCACCCACCACCACCACCACCTCCTGCCCGGCTGGCCTGGTAGTGGCTTGAGGGTTGCTGTGCCTGGGATAAAGAGAGAAATACAAGGTAGCAATGGTGGATAAGAGAGAGGGAGAGGGAGAGCAGCCAGGGGTGCCATCGCACCCACCACCACCACCACCTCCTGCCCGGCTGGCCTGGTAGTGGCTTGAGGGTTGCTGTGCCTGGGATAAAGAGAGAAATACAAGGTAGCAATGGCGGATAAGAGAAAGAGGGAGAGGGAGAGCAGCCAGGGGTGCCAGCGCACCCACCACCACCACCACCTCCTGCCCGGCTGGCCCGGCAGTGGTTTGAGTGCTGCTGTGCCCGGCAGTGGATGCACACCGAAGAATACTTCGGAAGAGAGGGAGCCTGGGGTCCCTCCATTTTTGCCCGGGGAAAATGGTGGATAGTCAAAGAGAGGGAGAGGGAGAGCAGCCAGGGGTAACACACCACCACTGCTTGCCCGGCTGCTTGGGAGAAGTTTCACTCATAGTGGTGTCATTTCTGGGAATTCTCATGAGGCGACTTTTGAGGCGCCTCAACAATGTTACTTATAGGAATTTTCAAAAGTGACATCAGGGGTCACAATTTTCAAAAGTGACACCACCACCACCACCACCGCCGCTTGCCCCGCTGCCTGGAAGAGGTTTCAGTGCTGCTGTGTCTGGGATGGAGGGAGGGAGAACCTAGGGGATGAGGGGTGGAGGGAACAGCGTGATCAGCAGAAGCGGCAGCGTGATAAGAGGTTATGAACATAAAGAACACAAAAAGTCCCACGTGTGCGTTGGCCTTACCTGCTCTGGAACGAGCAGCCCTTGCAGCAGCTCGAATGGCAAGCACGTAGAGCAGTGGGCGGAAGATGTGGATGAGCTCTGCTGTCACGTGCATGCAGCTGGGGAGAGATGGGGGGAGGGGAGACATGGATACAGGGATCGAAGACAAGGGGGTAAATAGCTGTGGGTCGTGCGCTGACAACTCCATGTGAATGGCAGGGATTTTTTGAGAATTCTAAAAAAATCCCTGCAACATCACGGGGGTAAATAGCTGTGGGTCGTGCGCTGACAACTCCATGTGAATGGCAGGGATTTTTTGAGAATTCTCAAAAAATCCCTGCAACATCACGGGGGTAAATAGCTGTGGGTCGTGCGCTGACAACTCCATGTGAATGGCAGGGATTTTTTGAGAATTCTCAAAAAATCCCTGCAACATCACGGGGGTAAATAGCTGTGGGTCGTGCGCTGACAACTCCATGTGAATGGCAGGGATTTTTTGAGAATTCTCAAAAAATCCCTGCTACATCACGGGGGTAATTAGCTGTGGGTCGTGCTCTGACAACTCCATGTGAATGGCGAGCCGAGCACGTAGAGGAGCAGGCGGAAGATGTGGATGAGCTCTGCTGTGACATGCATGCAGCTGGTTGGGGGAAGGGGAGATGCGGAGGGAGAGGGGGATAGAAGAAGAGAGGGGAATGGCGAGCACGTAGTGGAGAGGACAGAAGATGTGGATGAGCTGTGCCCACACATGCATGCAGCTGGGTGGATGGGATGGGGAGGGAGAGTGGGGTATGGAATGGCGAGCACGTAGAGGAGCGGACGGAAGATGTGGATGACCTCTGCTGAGACGTGCATGTAGCTGGGTGGGGGAAGAGGGTGATACGCGGGATAGAATGGGGAGGGGAGAGCACGTATTGGCCCATATCAAGAGGCGAGCACGTAGAGGAGCGGGCGGAAGATGTGGATGAGCTGTGCTGAGACGTGCATGTAGCTGGGTGGGGGAAGGGGAGATGGGGAGATGCGGAGGGAGAGGGGGATAGAAGAAGAGAGGGGAATGGCAAGCACGTAGAGGAGCGGGTGGAAGATGTGGATGAGCTGTGCTCACACGTGCATGCAGCTGGGGGGATGGGGAGGGAGAAGGCGAAATCAACAAACATGAGGGAGAACAAGTGCGAGTCGTGCGTTTATGGTGCGTTTGAATTGAATGGAGTGATGGGCACGTGGAGCAGAGAACTGTTGAGACGTCTCAAAAGTTGGAAGGGTTTGAATGTAGTGATGGGCACGTGGAGCAGAGAACTGTTGAGACGTCTCAAAAGTTGGAAGGGTTTGAATGTAGTGATGGGCACGTGGTGGAGCAGAGAGAGCGGAAGATGAAAAGAAACTAACAAAGTAGGATAGAGAGCAGTGCGGCAGAAGACTCACCGAATCCAATCTACTTGCTTTGACTTGGACAATGCTGGATTTAGTTCCCCAGCTGACGTGGTGTCTCCATCTTCGACACTTGCAGCTGATGTAGCGGGCCCATCTTCCATGCATGCAGCTGACGTGGCGCCAGCTGGAGCCTTATCAACAATTCCGTTGGAGTCAGCCGCCTCTACCCTGCCTTGGTTTCCCCTACCCTCTGCTGCTGCCGCGTTCGCAGCAGCAGCAGCACCAGACACAGCAGCAACATCAGGCGCAACAGAAGTAGCACCAGAAGCAGCAACGGCATTCCTCAACACACCAGCACCACCATTTTCCTGTGCCCAATACTGCTGCTGCTGCTGCTGCTGCTGCAAATTACGTTGTTGCTGCTCATAATACCACTGCTGCTGCTGGTAGTGCTGCTGTTGCTGCTGTTGTTGGTACTGGTTCTGCTGGTGGTGGTGCTGGTGGTGAAGGCGGTGGTAATGGCGGGACTGCTGCTGCTGCAATTGCTGACCCCCCACCTGCCTCTGGAACCGTTGAAACGCACCCAGTGCCCTAGTCGTTGCTGCCTGCTGCCCATTCATGCCCCGGTGGTTACCAACACTGTAACCCATAGAACCGCCTGTGCTATGCGGCTGCTGCTGCTGATAGGGGGACGGCTGCTGGGCTTGTAACGAGGATGAAGTTGATGGGGTAGGGGAGGGTTTGCTGGGGCCCGGATTCTCCGTGCTGCCTCCTCCAAAAAGCAGTCGCCACCTGTCACGGTGCAACAGGAGCAGGCGGATTGCGGCCCTGCAGGGAAGACACGTCAGCATCCCAGTCAGCACGAGAGGAACAGAAGGAGAAAGGAGAGAGTAAGGATGAAGAGAGAGGATGAGGAACAGAGAAGATTCGAAAAAATCCTTCAGCAAACTTAGTCTTGAAATAAATAAATAAATAATTAAAAAAAAAAGAGGCCTTTTCGAATCTCCAGGCCCTTGCTCTGCCGCCATCTCACATAATACCTTTCCTCCCCCCTTCCCCCCCCCCACCCAGTTACTCCCTTGGCTGCTTCGATGCCAGCAACAGCAATCCGCTTGGCGTCTTCCGCGTGATAATGAAAGTGTTTTGAGACATCTCAAAGCAGCAATCCGCTTGGCCTCCTCCCACCCAGTGACTCACTTTAAAGCTTCAATGCCAGCAACAGCAGTCCACTTGCCATCCTCCCCAAGCCATTGCTCTGCCGCCATCTCCCCCAGCACCTCCCCCTCTTTCACCACCGCCAGCACCAGCGCCCACGGCACCATCCCCATTCCCCCCTTCCCCTCTTCCCCCTCCCCCTCCCCTTCTTCTCCGTCAACTCCTCCCCCAGCCTCCCCAGCCCCCCTCCTGCGACCCTCCCTCCCCCCCGTCCTTTCCCCCAATTCTCCCCCCAATCCCTCCCCCCCTTCCCGCCCCCATTCCCCTTGGAATTGTCCGCCAGTGGGGAGGGTATGCGGAAGGGGATAGGGGTACGGGGAAGGGGGGAAATTAGGGGCGGGGAAGGGATGGGGGGAAGAATGCGGGGGGAGATTGGGATTGGGGGAAGGGGAGTGGGGGAAGGAGGCAGGATGGCCTATGACAGGGGGAGGGGTAAAGGCTGGATGGGAATGGGGGTGTGGATGATAGTGCTGTTGCTGCTGGTCGTGTTGGTGGTGCTGCTGCTGCTGGTAGTGGGGGTGTTGCTGGTATTGTGGATGCCGAACGAACTCTGGAGAACCGTTGTGACTCAACGGATACGGTGCGGGAAGGTTCAGGTTCGGCGCGTGGAGGTTCGGAGCTTGGTTCGGAGGGAGGTTCGGAGAAAAGCCGTTGGGTTGGAAGAGAGCGAGATTGCGATTGGGGCTCTGAAGAGCCCGTTGATTGTGTAATGGGAAGGAAGAGGGTTGGCTGGCAGGCCTAAGGGAGCGGTTGCTGGCTTGGGAAGGGGCTTCAGTAGGAGCTGTCTCGATAATATGGTCGTTTATAACGGAGATCACTCCAATCAATGTCGAAACTGCCACCGACACAAGGGAAACGGAGAGGTGAAAACTTTGAACAGTTGCCAAAAATAAACCAGGCGCGCACACACCTTGCAGCGTAAAAAAAAAAAAAAAAAAAAAAAAAAAACTTACGAGCCTCCGGCGCAAGCTCTGACTCAGCCAATCGGTCAGGAAGGAGCCATGTCAGGGTCTGTGCACGCAAGTATGGCAGCAGGGAGGGAGAGAGAGATGTGGGGGAAGGGGCAGAAGAGGATGGGACGGATACAGAGAGCTAAAGGCAGGTGCTGTCATTGTCACTAAGAGCTGTCAAAAAATATAGTCAGTGCTATATTGTTTTCTCGGACTGACAGTGCTGTCAAACGATGTAGTCCCCTAAAACAAATAGTTGCACACTGACAAAAGGCACTCGCATTCCCCACCCGTTGCCTTGGCCCACAGTCGCCATGCTTTCGATTCACATTCGCCATCCTCTAGCTTCACTCACATTCGCCATGCTTTCGGCCGACGACAGCCATTGTCGGTTGCGGCGAACCCAGTCTTTGTACGCGTCGAACACCGCCACCGCCATGACCGCAATTACTCGTCACCACTTGCTAACGGACCCAGTCGTCACCGCTACTACTCTTTGCTACTCAATATCGAACCCAGTCCTTGTACGCGTCGAACGCCGCCACCGCCATAATTGCGTTTAGTTAATCGCCAATTGAGCGAAAATATGTCAACGACTGCTACTCACTGCCGCTCCTCAGTGCTTGTACGCGTCGAACACTGCCAACGCCATAACTGCGATTTGCGTAAGCCAGGTGTAAATCCGCTCACGAAGAACTGTGTTCCTCAATACCGAACCCAGTCCCTGTACGTGTCGAACACCGCTACCGCCATCACCGCGACCGGCTCTTACAGAACCCTGAGCCGCCTCAGTAGCTACTGACCTCTCCGTTGCGCTCACAAACCCTCAGGTCCTCACGAATCATCCGCTCCTCAGCCGTTACACGCATCCAGGACAGCCACAGCCATGATGCCTTACTGCTCGTGATCGTCGCATTGGCTCACAGATGTCGTCTCGAAATTTAGAGAAGTCTTCACGTCACGAATATAAATCTTCTGCCCTCCTCTGCATCTGTTCTGGCAGCAAAAGGGCATGCAACCTTCGTCTCGGATTGTGGAAAACTTGCGGAAACCCAGATTGCGGTTTCGGCGAACGTCGTCTCGGGAAAATCTCGGTTTAACGAACAAGGTTACAGTTTTCGTTGCGCAACTTCGGGCGCAACCGCACCCGAGGTTCCACGCCCAAATTCAACTTCGAGATTCCCGAGCTGGAGCGTCTCTGTGAATCAGGTGAAATAAAACTACTTAGCTATTTGATAGAGAATGTTTCCTGCCCAGTTTATGGTGTACTTTTCTCCCCGAACTTTGTTATACATACAACTGTTTCCATTATCCCGCTTGTCTCTCATGTTCTAGCACAGAGGTCATACTTCAACCGCTCTTGGGGAAGTAATTTGAAATCATTGATCATTCACATGAGGTAATATACAGAGACACAGCCAAACAGGCTGGTAAAATACTGCTAACAAACAACATGACAGCATCAAGCCATGGAAAGGCATCACATGACCATAAGCTACCATGCTGGAAACAGGAGATGCAGCACCAATCAGATTGGTACCACAAAAAAAAGGAGCGAAGATGAAACCAGATAAAGAACCAGCACCACCAGGCTACCTGGCACTGGAAAAAGGGTGGTAATAGAGAGGGCAGCACAGGAGAGGCAAACCCGTGGAGATACACCAGCTGCAGCCAGTGCAAAAAAAACGGGTATGCACAAACCTTGCACCTCATCCCGTCTCGACCATGCTGAAACTTGAATCCCTCTAATGAAAGGATTGAATGAAAGAACTCATCACCCAATGAAAGAACTGAAATCAGAGCTACGATGCTCAATCCGCACGGCTCCAGTTCAAGCGGTTCAGATTTGGACGCCAAGAAGGGACGGCCTGGGGCGGAGGAACTGATGGTAGGTCGGCTTCTGGCGGGGCTCTGGGGATGAAATCGGGGTGAAGAATTCGGATACTCCCGAGGACGAGCCTGACGATGATGCTGAGATAGAGCGCGACTCGGCCTCAAAGGCGCGAAGACTCTTGAGACGCCACTTGTACGCGCTAGTGGCGTCTTCGTTAAGGTCGTTGCGTTCCTGGAATGAAATTGTCAGGCTGGTGTCGGTCGAATTCGTTGCGAAGGTATTATCACATGAATAGCCTGTGCGAGGGATCTTCTTGGGATTTGTGTGGTCGGGCGACACAGCGAACGGCGATGCTGTCGCTAGGGGAGTGGGCGACGACGGCGGCGACTGCAAGCTCCGCACTACAAGCTCGAGAAGGGAAGCTGCCGCGTCGCGCTTCGCCTTCTCGCCTGCAGTTGGGCTGCGCGCAGCCGACGAGAGTCTTCCTGCAGAAGGGTGCTGCTGCTTCGGAGACAGGTTCGGCTGTCGAAGCTGGGTCAGAGGCTCGGCAACACGAAGGGCCTGCTCGTCGCAGGTGGTGGTCGCAGCAGTGTCGTTTGAGAGTTGCACTACGACAGCCTCCAGCTGTTGCGACGCCTGCTGCTGCGACTGCTCCTGCGACGGCTGCGACGGAAACACCTTCGACGCCTGTCGCGGGAACACAGCTCTTCGCGCGAGGGCGAGCCACGGGTGCGACATCACACCGTCGATGTCATATCTCTGCGCAGGATCGACGATCATCATTCGGCAGATCAGATCCCGCGCCGCGATCGACAATTTCGACCATCCCGCGCTCCGGAAGTCGTTCGGGGTCAGCTGGCGCCGGTTTCCGGGAAACGCGGGCCACGTGGAAGTGAGCATTGAGTAAAGGAGCACGCCTAGAGACCACACGTCAGCCTTGGTGTTATAAGGCTGCTCAGCAAGCATTTCCGGTGCTTCGTAGGGCATGCTCCCACCGATCCCAACCATCGCGCACCCCGGCTTCAGCTGAAACGACAGCCCAAAATCCGCAAGACGAACGGACAAGTTATCCGCGATAGAAGCAGAGGAGGATCCGGTAGTAGCAGCACCCTGAGCGATTGCGGAAGTCTTGGTGAGAAGAATGTTTTCAGGCTTGATGTCGCGGTGAACGATGCGGTGCGCGTGGCACCATCGGACGGCACGGACGATCTGAACAAAGATTTTCGCCGCAGACGCCTCATCCAGACCGTTGCCTGATCGGTCGACCAGATCGAACAGATCTCCGCCGTTGCACAGCTCCGTTATAACATACACGGTCTTCTCATCAGCGTACACATGTGCGAGTGACAATATGTTTTCGTGGGCGCCGAGAAGCGACAGAGAGTAAATCTCCCGTTGAAGATCCGCCATCTCAGCTTCTGACAGACCCGCGGTGCGGATCTGCTTGCACGCCATTGGCTGACCCGAGGCGCGATCCACGCAGCGCCATACCTTGCCGTACTGACCCTCCCCGATGATGTCGCTGAAAGCGAAATCTTGCCAGAGCTGCGACGAAGGCTTCGGCTGCGACATGATCGTCAGATCGTGCGTCTGAGTCGACTGTCGGACAGATGCCAGCGGATTTGTGACGGATACCAGAACTGGGGTCACACGTATTGAGAGTCCTCTGTAAACAAAACACAGCTTCGTGCTAAAGAACAACCAATCGGGACAATCAACCTCGGAAGAGATGAGGATGGGATCAGGATATCCTGAGAGAAGGAAGACTGACGCCTAATATATCTCGCGTTGGGGGAGGTTAGTTCCTCCTCCTCCACTACTACAGCTGGGACGAGCGGGTAACTGACGCGTTTCTTGGTTGTCGTATTAGGGACGGACCGTTCGCTAAGGATAAAAGGGACCGTGGCGGCTGCAGTGGTATTGCAACAGCGACTGAGGCACCGACGACGAATCGTTCGAATGAGGAAAAAGAGCAGGCATGTGTGGTACACAAATGTCACGAATATCGACCAAAGCACATGGAAGGAAACTGGTGAAGGGTGCAGCAGCAGTCAGGAACCTAGGAGGTCCGCTAAGGTTCACGCAAATGGCAGCGGCAGCGGCATCCCTTTGGCAGTGCGAGACAAAGGGTGTGGTTGAAATAGCGGATCGCATGTTTGGTGGAGTGTACGACGCGCAGAGCAGCAGCAGTTTGTTCCGGAAGCTGCTTGTGCATTCCCCATGCCCGAGTTCTGTGCGCGAGCAACATTTTGTTACTGGGAAACACACAGATTATTTGACGTTTGAGTGAGGTGAGTACTGGTTCAAGACGGTGAAGTGATCCAACCGCTCTGAATAGGACCAAACCGCGGATAGCCGTTTTAGCTTGAATGAGCCGAGACCAACATCCATATGCGGTGCGGACCTTCCAGGGATCTTTGTTGGACCTCAGCGTCTGGTAACTAAAGCTTCTCGAATACACGACGAAAAAAAATTGCCAAAACCTAGCCAATCGCCATAGGCGCGATTCTGACATAGCCATTGCCTTCGGGGTGTGTGGCGCTGGCATGCGAACGGATTCTTTCCGCGAAATTAACGGGTGGGAGACAAGTGCTGCTCACTCGACTCATCCAACCAATCCCATCCCAAAGGAAGCAGTGCATGGACGCTGCCAAAACAAAAGCCGAGTCGTGCGCACCTTAGAAGTGACGTCAGTGGAACAATTTTCACCAATGAATGTAATGTACTGTTCTCTCAAATATTTGATTCCATTCTTTTCCCGCCCAAAACTCTCGCACTTGCTGTAAGACAGCAAGGGTGTGGCTGCAGTTGCATTCTAAAGCTGTCTTCACCTGCCTTAGATTTCGGTCTGGTCCATATTTCTTACCAGAATCTTCTTCGTCGCCTGCAAAACCTCCAAGTGCTTCACTTACGACCACGTCAAGAGGTCCACTTTTAAGCGAGGCGCGAAAAGCAGCCAACGAGACCTACAGTACGTGGCAGATTCATGACGCAATCCTTTTGAGACATCCAATGGGCATCAGCACCCAAGACAAAGGCAGGGTCTCTCGTTCTTGGGGCCATTTTCAGGTGCAATCTCTATAGTACAGAATATGTGTTCAGGTGCGATCCCAATCTGTTACGGCACTGTTGCGGCACTGAAAGCCTCATCGGAACTCGGTCGTCGGACCCGTTTTGCCAGTGTCGACAGGAGGGGTCGTCGGAGCCGGGTCTGACGAGGCGGGCGACTGACGCGCGTGCGGGCCCGCCAGCCTGGCCCAGGGCTGGGCCGAGCGCACGACCGCCGCCCTCCGAAATTGAACAGCGACCCACGTTACCGGGCGGGGTCGGCGAGCTGGCGACCCCTCGCGCGAGGGAAAGTTACCCTCGCGCGAAGGCAGCCCACACGTGCTGCCTGCCCGCGAGGTCCTAGTAACCCATCGCGGCCTGCCCGGACGGGCAGGCGAGGGCCGTGCGAAAATACGGGCCCCCCTCGGGACACTCGACAATTTCGCGATTCGCAGCGGTGGCGCCACGTGTTCGCCCGTGGCTTCGCATCGGGCGCATGCGAAATTTTTGTCGAGGCGGAAATAAATTCTCTCCCATCGCATGCATTCTATCGTCGCGAACCGCTACGAAATCGACACGTGTCGATTGTAGCGTCGCTCCGCGCGCAGGAGGATTCGTGCGTCCCCTCGCCGACCTGGGCCAATGGACGCGAAGTCGACGCTCTACCAAGGCGGAGACGGACCACCTGTGCCACTTGCGCATCCGCCCTCCGAGCACTGCCGAGCCAGGCCGTGCACCCTTGGGCGATGCTGAACGGGCCTGGGGGGGGGGGGGGGGCACCACCTCCTTTTCTCTGTGGAAGGTGGCCTCGCTCCGCATTTTCGGCATCTCTTTCGGATTTTCAAACATTGACAGCTCTGCGCCTCCCCTCTCTCCTACCAGAGCCGTCCGCCTCTTTTCTTAGTCGACAGATATGGAGCCGATCTCCGCCGCCGATAAGTCGGCGCCGACATCGGCCGACTTTCCCCTTCGGGTGCAAATGGGTCGCGGTCTCAGCTTCACCTTAGAGTGGAACGACTACGCCGTCCTTCGCGACCAAAAGAAAGAGTTCACCGAGAGATGCTTTGGACTCGCCATCAGGTGGGACGCGGGTAGTCGCGGTAGTCGAATAGGGTAGATGTCGGTGCCGACCAACCCTAGTAGGGCGCACTGTCGCCGATTGTCTTCCGACGTACGTCGGCGGGCGCGTTTGACGAAGCACGTCGACATGGCAGCGTTTGCTTACCAGCCATGTTCTCATCCCTCGTGCTCACTCGTGCGCTCAGGTTCGCTTGGTTTGACATTGGGCGGGACGACCTGCGGTTGTGGGTGCTCGGGATCGGCCCGCTTCGATCGGCCATGAAAGCCGCCGACCATTCTTGCTTTGCTAAGGCTTTCGACGCCGACATCGCCGCTATCCCGCTGAAATCGACGTGAGCTGTTACCCCGTTGTCCAGTCATCGTTTTTCAGTGTCGGCCGCATCAACGCCTTATGCTGTGGTCGACGCCGTCGTTTATTGCGTGTGCAGCGGCGGCCCGCTTCCAGGGTCACACTGCAGCGTCATAGCCATCCTCTACCCAGGAGATGTGCTGAAGGCTGAGGGACAGGTCTGCAGGACATCGATCCGGCACATCGACCCGCACACCGGAAAGGGGAAGCACCGCGACGAGGCCGTCCGCGTCCTGAAGTAAGTTGTGAATAGTCGTCGCTGTCGAGTTTGTTAGTCGCCGACACAGGGAATCTCATGCTGACCTCCTCTCCACTACGTTGCTCCAGGCTATTCCGCACGGCTGCCCTGGCCGAGCTGGGGCGTCCCGGTAGGAAGTGGGACGGGGCGCCTCCATCACAAGCAGTGGTGGAGGAAAGGCTTGCAGACTGCGACGACCCTATCCGCGACGTGAGTTGCACGTTTAGGCTCCGCTACGGTCTGCGCGTATCTGTGTGCACCGCTCATATTGTGCCGCGCTTGCCTGTGCTGTATGCAGAAAGTGCCGGGCACAGTGTCGGACGGGCATGTCGGCACCGGCATGCTTGCCGCGACGTCGTTCGGGTGGGTGGCCAAGCAGATCGGCCTGCTGACGGGCGACAAGGCTCGGAGCGCTGTGAGCATCGAGAACATCAAGGTCGCGGGTTTGAGGTCGCTCCGTGATAGCATGGTCGATTACATCTGCCATCGTGTCGCCGAAAACCGGATAGCGGCGCCGACTTCAGGCGCCGACGGACCCGCCGAGGGTGCGATTGATGACGACGGCGCGGAAAGTCAGACGGCGCCCCAAGCAGCAGCTGCCGCCCAGCTCCAGGAGGACTTGCCGGTGTCCGCGGAAGGAGGAACCGGTGGAGGACTAGGCGACGATGCGGCAGGCGCAGGGAGGAAGGAAGAGGAGTTGACGGACTCTGGCTCAGAGTCGGAGTCGGAGGGGGAGGAGGAGGACGAAGGGGAGAAGGAGAATGAGGACGAGGAGGATGACGAGGGCAAGGACGAGAACGACGAGGTGGTGGAGGTGGTGGCTGGGAAGGACGAGGCGGCGCACGAGGAAGGGGTGGAGGAGGAGGTGGAGTACGAGCTGGAGTACGCAGACGGCACGGTTGAGGCGGTGGGGTCGGCGGACGAGAAGAACGAGGAAGCGGAGGATGGCGATGCGGGTAATGCTACGGGGTCGGCAGGTGAGGGGAAGGAAAAGGATGAGGTCGGCGTGGAGGCAACGACGGAAACGGGCCAGGAGGAGGCGGCATGCGAAGGTGCGAAGGTGTCGGTCGACGCCGGCGAAGGTGCGAACATCGCGGGCGTGCAGGAGACGGGGGACGCATCTGGTCGGCAGGGCCCTGCAACGGACGACGTCGAGGAGCTGCGACGGGAGAACTTGCTGTTGAGGGCGGAGAACGCTCGGCTGCAGGGTTTGCTCGATGCGGAACGGGCTCGGCTGGACGCGTTTTTTGTTGGGCTACGTGGACTCGTCGACCACCTGAAGGAGTTGGCCGAGCAGGTCGACGACACCGAGAAGTATGCGGCGGAACAGCTGCGAAACGCGGCGGAGGCCATGTCGCAGACCATCACGGGCAACATCACCGGCAGCTTCGACGAGGCGTGGAAGACGATGAAGACCTTCGCGGAACAGGCGTCGGCGTGGCTGGAGGACTTCGACAACCCGGAGGGAAATGTGGCGTATCAACGCGCCTTAGCGGTCACCACCTTGGCCGACCACGTCGACAAGGTGGTGGGCGATGCGCAGGAGGATTTGCGGGAGCACATCACGAGCCAGTTGTCCGCCGCAGCTGTCAACATCGCCACAGCTGTGACCGGCAGGCTCCCCGTGCAGCCGCCGCCACCGCCTCAGCCCACGCCGCCCGCCCTCCCGGAAGAGCTCTTGAAGTCGTTCAAGGCCGACATCATGAAGACGGTGACGGAGGCCACCGAGCAGTCGTTCGTTGCGTCCGGGATGAAGATGTTGACCGAGATGATCGGCACGGTGGCGCCTGGTCGACGTGGTTCGTCGCCTTCGGCCAATGACGCCGACGCCGCGCAACAGAGGGCGGCCGACAAGCA